GGACTTTGAGTTGAATCATTCACATTTCATATCGTTAGCACGTCTTATTCACTAGTTTACATAGTCTACTTTACATACAGTGGAAGTGTGGAAACAACATAGAACAAAGCCAACAAATATGTAAGAAAAAGTCACAAAAATTCAAATAAAAAAACCCAGAAACTTTTCACTTTTAACTCTTTTCTCACTCACAATTATATTTAAAGAATATTTTCTATACTTGCATGTCTTCTGCCGGTGAGAATGTTTGTTAATGTTTTACATGACATTTTCTGCATTATATTGAGTGCTGAACCAGGTTTCGTTTTTACACAATGTGAACAGCCCTTAGTTCCAATGAAGGGAAATCTTAAGCTCTGTTTATGTTTAAGCTACAACAACATTCAAGGATATTTTAGACAATAGTGTGCGTCCAACAGTTGGAGCAGGTTCCCCTCCTGTTGCAACACGACACTTCCCCCATGCACAAAGTCATGTCGAATTTTATGTCTATGTAGCAAAAAATAAAGTTTCACAATTTACCCAAAGGGCCTAACAATTTGTACAACATCCAACATCCTCTGTCCTTCAACCCTCAATCCTAAGAAAACCTTCCAAAAACCTTTTTGCTTTGTAAATGTTTTCAGTCAACATGTGTTTTGGAACACAACCATATACAGTCTTTCTCTTCATCTCAAGTCTTTTCTTGAGATGAAATGAAAATAGCTTTGTTTAATGCCCATGGTTTTGGAATGAGATGTTCATACTTGTATGTAATGTTCAGGCATCCACATACTTTGGACCATGCAGTGTGTTCACACAATATACACAAAAAAAAAAAATCTGGCTGGATCAAATCTCACACTTTCACACTTCTCTTTGATTATGTACTGATAAACTCTGACAGATAATTTATTTAGCTTTTTCAGAGTTGTGAATGAACAGGCCATTAAAATCAGAACAAAAACAAAATGTGAGAATCAAGAAGAAGCTCACTCCCACACTAATTCTGTCTCATCTTGTCAGGTTACATTTTTCTCTGAAGTCATCTGCAGTCGACTCTGGGTTCCATTAGACATGTCTGAACACAAACGCAAAGGAACGCCTACAGTATTTAGCACCTGGCTACAACACACACACACACACACACACACACACACACACACACACACACAGGCTCTGTCACACGTTGTAATTCATGTGTTGCTAAATTAATATTTACGCCAGTAGACCGGGCTTGGCAGTGTATTGTGATACTCATTTTGGAATTCTGTCCTCAATGAAACTGATGTAAATATTTATCCAGTCATAGTGAAATTTCACATTGAAGCAGTAATAAAGAACTTATTGAGATAACCAAATGAGAATAGACTACATTTGAATGAAAGATGTAGCAGAGCAGTGTCAGTGCAGCTTCCAATGAAGAACACAAATGCCATCAGATATGTGTAATACCATGGAAATTAAAAGATCATTTTAGTTTATTGCAACTTGGGTTGCGTATTGTGGTTGTAATTTTGAAGCTAGTTTTAGTGTCACCTGGCTGGGAGCACGCTGACACTAACAAAGTTATTTGGAAAAGAAAATGAAACTAACTTACTTACTCCGTCTGTTCGTAAACATCCATCAGTTTACACACACACACACACACACACACCTTTCACCTTGCAAGTGTGAGCATTATTACAAACATTTCATTTCTGTTCACTTTAAGTTTAATCTCCAAGTAAAGTGGTTTAGATCATCTAGATTCTAGATAAACTGTTGACTTAACAGTTAAAATACACATCTCAATCAGTACCAAAAACTAGTAAGGTTCATTACCTTAAACTTGTGTGTTGGCAAACAGATGCTTATTTACACATCCAGCAAACAAATTATGAGTGTAAACTGAAAACAATGGCATGTTTTAAATAGTTAAAAGCAGAAAATGTGGACTGGCTTTTAAACCAGACAGGATTTAACACACACACACTCTCTCAAAACATTGCATGACAGACTTTTGAAACATCTACTTTAGCGGCATTAGGATAATATTACTGCTGCGGTTCAGTGTTCTAGACATAAATGTTCCCTGAGCTCAGAGCTGCAACAGGGAGGGACAGGCAAATAAAGCTAACATACCTGGCCACACCTTTAACGTTAAACCCACACCTCATACCTGTGTGTGTGTGTGTGTGTGTGTGTGTGTGTGTGTGTGTGTCTGTGTGTGTGTGTGTGTCTGTGTGTGTGTGTGTGTGTCTGTGTCTGTGTGTGTCTGTGTGTGTCTGTGTGTGTCTGTGTGTGTCTGTGTGTCTGTGTGTGTACACCCGTCCCCTGCCACGTTTCTGCTCATGTTCCCGTGTTATGTGTGGCCGATAATTAATGTTCTGTTTCTGAGCAGTCGGCCGAATAGAGGAGGAAAGGAAGGAGGAATAGATGAGGGGATGAGAGAGGGATCGATGGAGGGAGAGAGAGAGAGAGAGAGAGAAAGACAGAAGGACAGATGGAGGACGAGGAGGGAAAAGGTGGATAAGAAACCTAGGAGTGAGAGAGGGAAGAGAGGAACAAACGACTGGAGAGAAAAAGGAGGAGAGCTGCTGCTGCTGCTTAAACACATACAGGAAGAGGGAGGGAGGGAGGGAGGGATGGATGGAAGGAGTGAGTGAGTGCTTCAAACGAGTATCAAGTATGTACAGTCAGCACCAGTCCAGGTTTCACTTTGACATCACTTCCTGTTGGTGCTGTTGGATGAACACACATACCTGATCTTTCACTGTGACTTTTTTTTAACTTTACGTAACTCAGCAGTGACTCAGCGTTGCAGCCGGTGCGTGTGTCTGTGCGAGCCCATGTGCGTGAGCGTGCCTGTTTCCTCCCTGTGCAGCTCTCGGATTTAGATATTCAAATGACACGAAATGAGTCAGTGTGAACTCACGCAGTTCAGACTCTGCTGTGTCACTTTGTTCCTGCACAGAATGGAGCTGAGTGATGCAGATAAAATCCAGTGTCACTTTATGTTAGACCCAGTATGATAATCAAAATGTACAAATACAGAGACAAGATTGCTTTTTCAACAGGGACCTTTTATACAAAAAACGTATATATAGTATAAATGCACTGACAAACACTGTTTACATTATACACATAATTCATTCCATGTAAAAGAAAACAAATCAAAGACACTAAAATGAGTTTACCAGGAAATTAAGTTTCTTGGAGTTTCTAAAATAATTTGAAATCCTGTAAAACATGTAAACAGTACACTGTGTGTGTGTGTGTGTGTCAGAGGGGTCAGTTTAACAGGAAGTGTCGTGTCCACAAACAGTGCCACAAAGAAACCATTATAATGGGGTCGGCTCTGTGTGTGTGTGTGTGTGTGTGTGTGTGTGTGAAAGAGTATGTAAAGATGACAGAGGACCCATTGTGGAAGTGATGCAGCTCATTTCCTTCTTTCTCTCTCTGTGTCAACATTAAGGTTTCCTTCCAAATCTCAGTACATTTTCTAAAAGTTGGTCAAATAATTAAATTAATTGATGTTTATCATTCATCCACATCCGTAGTTTGAAAAAAATGTTCCTGTTATCCTGTAAAACATTTTATTGCTGCTTCCAACATTCGTCAAAGAAATCTCTCGATTTACTGATTCCAGGACGATCTTACACACCTAAACAACCAGTGAAAGTTTAACTAGCAACCTACCAATCAGCCAGCAGCCCTTTCAGTATCTTTCACATCGTATATTGTAATTAAACAGGTCAAACAAATGAAAAGTCATATGTGTTGCTATTGAGGCAAATCTGGTCTCTAGGCAATATCGTCCAGCTCTACCTCTGACAAACTGAGTTTGGCATTTATATTATAATTTGGAGCTTTTATGTCACAGTAGGTGGCATCAATATACTGTGAGTGCACTTCACACAGTAAAGCCAAAACAGGACCTGCAATGTCATAATTTGTTAAAACAATCATTTTTCCACAAACTTCATCGTCTAAGTGTAAAAACATTATGCAATCTTAAGTGTTTTTTTATGCACCAGTTCAATACATGTACAGTTCAATACACATCTCAATCAGAACCATCTGAAGACATATTAACTTCTGTGTCAGTCTGTCTGATGCACAGATACTGTAATATGTTTATTAAAAAAATGCACATGAGCTATCATTGTCTCATCAAGTGTTATTGGACAGTGTATCTTATTATGAGAGCACCGTGTGTGTGTGTGTGTGTGTGTGTGTGTGTGTGTGTGTGTGTGTGTGTGTGTGTGTGTGTGTGTGTGTGTGTGTGTGTGTGTGTGTGTGTGTGTGTGTGTGTGTGTGTGTGTGTGTGTGTGTGTGTGTGTGTGTGTGTGTGTGTGTGTGTGTGTAACCTAATATTGTTCCATCCAGTTAACCAAGGCTGATTGTGAAAGGAGGTGGTTTCTTTCTTACATAATTCATTAATAAAATGGCACACACACACATTGTTTCAACACACATTACAACACTGATCATAAGATCTTAAACAGATTGATTTTCCTTAATACCTCTTTATGGAGCAGTGATAACACACACACAGACACACTGCTCTGTTCAGCTCTTTGTGTAATACACTAAATGCAGTTTGTAATGCTGAGCTTCAGTCCAGCTCATGTTACACGCTACAGACCACAGCAGCAAGCAAGAAATATCACTTTAAAGTAGCCAAGTCCAGGTTGGGCGATGTCCTTTTCCTTTAGTCAGCTTGTTTAAACACAGATTTTTACCACAGAGATTATTTTCATGAATTCTGTACATCCTTCAATGTCAATGTCAATTCATGAAATTCCTCAGGCTTGGACCAATTATAAACAAATACTTCTTGACCTATCGGCATCTTTTTCAACAGTTAACGTCTTAAAGAGGAATGTATGTGCTAAAACCTATTACGTAATAAATCAGCCGGCATTTCATTTGGTAGTTGCAATGGTTCAAACTGAGCTTTACTTTGAAATCTCATTTTGGTTTCTTTTCAGAATTAAACTCATCATTGGACTGTTGTATGTTTTTGTTTTATCCAGGTGCCACCAAGGACATCGGCTCAGCGCTAACCAGGATGTGTATGAGACACCGCAGCATCGAGTCCAAACTCAAACTGTTCACTACGTAAGAGACACACACACACACACACACACACACACACACAATATTGCGTGTGTTATTGACTAAGGAGGGAGGACAGGTGAAGGTGTGAATGAGGATGTGATGACGCCTTTTATCTGACAGTTTGGGAACTAGATACTGTAATTACTCTCAACGGACATATGCTAATATACATGAGTGTGTGTGTGTGTGTGTGTGTGTGTGTGTGTGTGTGTGTGTGTGTGTGTGTGCGTGTGTGTGCGTGTGTGTGTGTGTGTGTGTGTGTGTGTGTGTGTGTGTGTGTGTGTGTGTGTGTGTGTGTGTGTGTGTGTGTGTGTGTGTGTGTGTGTGTGTGTGTGGTTCTGATTTCACCTGTTGTCGCTGCTCCAACTTCACAGTTGTATCTGTCGTGCCCGTCACTCATTGCTGTCTGCTGTCTTTAGAGACACTGTCAGACAGATGATTCACAAACAGTACATATAGCTGGCAGGTAATGATTTCCTAAAAGTATGGTCTTCATGTTTTACAGTTTTACCTCAACAGCAGCACCACACAGCTTTACAGTAACTAAGTTGTTGTTTGGAGGATTAATTCAAGAAAATGGGCTTAAACACAGTGATTAAGTGAGACTTTAAATCTTTTTCTCTCTCAGAGCTCTCTCAGAAAGTCTTATTACTCCGCTGGAGTTGAAGATGGAGGAGTGGAAAAAGGTGGCCAGTCAGCTGGACAAAGATCATGCTAAAGGTATGCCAACATGCTAATACAAACACTCACACACGGGCTCAAACTCTCCCTCACTGCCGCCTTGTTCTTGTTGTTTAGAGTACAAGAAGGCCAGAGCAGACATCAAGAAGAAATCGTCAGACACCATCAAACTGCAGAAGAAGGTGAAGAAAGGTAAGAAGAACGCCCATCAGCTCCAACATCACCTTCATCTCACATCCAGCAGGTTTTCAGTGGCACTACAATGAACACTACAACCACAAATCTGTCTGTGAAGTTACATTATCACATAGTCAAAAGCAAAAAGGAGTTAAAGGATAGCCCTAGTGTTATTACATTAGCAGCAGAGCTGTACATAGCAGAACGTGTTTACTTCAGAGAACGTCACCCGCTGAATATTAAAACCATCTTCCACAGAATGACATAATCCTCCACAGTAAACACGGGGAGTCTGTTTGATCCTGCCCTCATTGTCCTGAGATAAGTGTTTTCAGATCTCTGCTGCATTATGTTATGCTCTGCCTCCTGTCAGTCATCTCATGCCCCGAGGAAAGAATGAATCCCTGGCCTCGTCTATTTGTTTTGCAGTCTTGTTTTTAAAGCACAAAAGTAGTTGTCTTTCATTTGTATCTGTTGGTTGTTGTCATTGTTTAGGGATCCCTTTTAGCACATTACAGATCAAAAACTTAAGCTTCCTCTGCCCATAGCCATTTTACTGATCTCTTTTATCCACTTAGTGGTAAATATTCTACTTTCTTTTTACCTTCTGGGTTTACCACCTCCAGTGGAGGATTTGTCAAAGTCAGGGGGTATTATAACAGAACCATTTCCCTTTGTCCAATGAGCAACGTGTACTTGTTACCTGTATAAAGGGTTTACTGGTGTTACCATGGGTCTTACTGGTCTTGATATGCGACTTGTCAATCTTGACTCTGGACTTCATAGCAAACTGGAGACTTATTTGTGATTTGTGAAGGAGAGTTTGTGCCACCGCTGTTATCTGAACAGTTTCCAGAAGGTTGTCGTGTTCGTCTCAGAAGACATTTTTGTCAAAGTATGTTTCAGTATTTTGTTTTGTTAAATGAGGGGCACTTAACACTCAAACAGTCAGACTGATATTGTTTAGAACTGAAATCTGGATCGGAGTATTTTTACCTTCAGTATCTATGAATCATGACTAGATTTAGACAGTCCGAGCAGTTTCTGTGCTTTGAGGCCTGCAGTGACTTTAAGCCTGGCTGTTGGAATATTGCCATGGCAACCCAGACATACTACCAGGCAGGCACCTGGGCCACACCCTTCCTTGCTATCAAAGCGACACACCCTGTGGTTGCCATGGTCACACCTGGCCCAGCCATCCCATAATCAAAGAGACTGAACGCTCGCCAAGGAAAGACTGCAAATTACCTTTGACGGTAGAAATAGGACGCAAACGCCCAAACACGTGCACAAACACACATTCATGCATGCATAAACGCACACACACCACAATCAAAATGAAACCTCGAGGCCTTTATACAAATATCCTCTCCGTCCTCCCTCTCGACAAATCCAATACGCAAATGCAGAAATAGTCCGTACACACATCCCACGCGCACTAACACACACACACAAGCGCACAGTTGCAGCGCAGACCCGCCCATGGTAAACAGAGTAATGTCTGATGTGGGTTTAACATCTCTGAACATGTTTTTTTGCTTCGTGCCTTATTTTTTTCTTTCCCCTTTCTGTCTCTTTCTGCACAGTTCCCTTTACTGTCTGTCCTCTCGCAGTTCAGTCAATCATCATGACTTTTTACCACAAACTAAATCACCAGAACAGTTTTAAACCGTGTAAATGATCAGAAAGAAGTTAAAATGTTTGATGGAAAGTTTTGTTTTATGACAACTTGTGTGATTTCATGGTTTAGGCCATGCTTTCTGTTGGTTATGATAGCACTGTACTCAATATGTAAACTGACTTAGCTTTTGCTATGTGGGACAAGTATCATTTAACAGTATGTAACAATATGTCTGTTATCTAGTTAATCCAATTGATCCAATAAACCTTGAGATCAACCTGATTTTGGGCGCACCTGAAAATGTGCGGGACAGGACAGTAGGTCAAAGTTGAAGCAGGAAACTGATATTTACAACAGACCTTTGGGGTAATTAGTTTTTTCTCTGTCCTCTTCTGATGAAGTTTATCTAAACATTCAGCTATTAACTTGGTGAGTACAGTGCTATTATAATTAATAGAAATGAACAGGATCTACAAAAAACAAACCCAAGTTGCAATAAACCAGATTTATCCAAATGAAAGAACTATCTGTTTATCTTCTGTATACTGTACTCTCTGAGAGCTGTAAAGCTCAGAGAGACGACAAGTAAACAAGTAAGCAAAAGAAATTCAAACACAGAGACAAAGCCACAGCTTCACATGGTGTCACCACGTAATGGACACACACACACACACACACACACACACACACACACACACACAAGTTTTCCCTGCACAGTGTACCAAAACTGTTTCTGTACCCTCACCAATCAAGACTTCACATTATAATTATCTCTGCTGTACAGTTTTGTGTGTGTGTGTGTGTGTGTGTGTGTGTGTGTGTGTGTGTGTGTGTGTGTGTGTGTGTGTGTGTGTGTGTGTGTGTGTGTGTGTGTGTGTGTGTGTGTGTGTGTGTGTGTGTGTGTGTGTGTGTGTGTGTGTGTTATAATAAGTAAGGACAGACAGAAGGACTTAACTGCTGTAGCTGTTGTTGGGAAAAGAAAACTACTCTTAACAAGAGTGCAGTTATTTTAATCCTGGACTCTTTGTTAACTTTTTGTCATCCTGTGGATGTTTTATTTGTATTGATATCAGGATTTAGTTTTTTTGCTTTACAGTATGCTCCACTAGTTTGAAAATACACAAATACAAACACATAGTCCAGACATTAAACTTTGTCTAAGTTTATTTTGAACCCCTCTCTTCTGGTCTTCTTCTTCTTCAGGTCTTTCCCTGCAAATCACAAAACTTTCACAAGCTCAGTTTTTACTACAAGATTGAAATAATTTTCTCCTTCTCGCTCGTACCGTCTCTCTTTTCTCAGTTCACTTCAGGTCATTATCCTTTTGTTGTACTGATGCACAAACAGTATATTTGAATGAAAAGTTAGAGTAAACATCTGCTCTATCACTTAATCATTCCATATGATTCGTGTGTGTGTGTGTGTGTGTGTGTGTGTGTGCTCTCTGTCATTATGTGGTGTGCCACCACTTCAGATAGTGAATCTCCAATTGCTTAGAGAGACAGGCAGATGATGGGTGCAGAGTCAAGGGAACAGAAATACAGACATAAAGGTGCTATCAGTTATTCCATTCTGCTGTATGGATGGAAACATACGCACAAACACACCAGTGCTTACGTTTTCATTGAGAGGTCATTGAACCATAGTTACATGCAAACATCAGTTTTAATGGTTATACCGGCTACTCAACAGCTCACGTTTCACTTTGCTGGCAAATATTGAAAGCAGACAGACTCCAGGCCTGTTCAGGTCCCAGTCGAGGTTAGCGTGACTGGGCGGGTTCAGGTCTTGGTTTGAGGCTTGTGAAAAACTCGAATATAAAATATCCATGAAGAAGAGGATAGAAGGATGACAAGATCAAAGATGACGGCTGACCTTGTCCTCATGTGGCTGTGCAGAGAAGCGGAGGGTAGGGGTTTGAAGTCATCCTCTCCATGACTCGACAGCAGTGAGACTGTGGTTAGAAAGATAGGGGGAGGAACATGGAGTGAGAGGAAGAGGTTTGTAAAGAGAAGGAAGAGAAATTAAGGGAATTCCCAACTGCAAGGAAACGGGAGAAAAAGAAGAGGGGAGATGGATGGACGATGTAATTATCTCCTTCTCAAGTGGTTGCATTAAAGAACAGGGGGGATGATGGAGGAAAGAGATGATGTCATAGCTCTCAAAGTGCAAAAAGAGGCCGATTAATGGAGGGACAGATGGAAGAGGTAGAGGAGAAGGAGAGGAATGAAGGCAATGAAAAGGACAAAGATGTTGAGGGAGGAAGAGTTTGGAAGAAAGCAGAAAGACGAGGAGAAAGTTCAAAAGAGGGAAGAGGTTGGTGTGGAAGAAAGTTGAAAGAGGAGGAGGAAAGAGAGAATATTGCAGGAGGAGGAGGAGGAGGAAGAAGAGGAAGAAGACACAGAGAAGTTAGAGGTACGAAGAGAGTGAGGAGCTGTGAGGTTAAAGGAGGTCAAATGTTCTCATTTGAATCTCCAGGTGGTTTTTGCATACAGCTGCTCCATGTCTCAACCTGCTTCAGTGAGCTCCACAGAAACCCATTTAACACCTGAAACAAACTACCTGGACACCTGTCTTACATTGATGACATCATCACCGTGTGACGCAGATGGTCTAGACTGCAGTATGAATAAGCCTTTAAAAGCATCAGGTTAACATTTAGACTGCTGTACAGTGAGAGCTCTGTCCTGTCTGGGAAAATTAGTCATGATTAGAAACATGCAGTGTATTGAAAGCGTCAGCAGAAAGAGCATTAAATATCACCGTAGCAGCAGTGTGTCATTACAAAGTGTTCACCGTCATCTGTAACTTCATTCAGACGGGTTTTCAATTGCTGATGCCGATATTTAGAGAGCAAGGTGGCTGGTGGCCGATTATATAATGCTGATATAAAATACATATACATTTCCATTCTTTCATTGCACATTACAGTCTAATATACCTGGTTAAATAAGCCAGTAACACGTTAATGTTTATGAATGAATGACATTTTAAACACACTGACGAGGCTAACTGCAGATTGGCTTTGTGAGCACAGACCAATGGCAGTTATCTCAAAATGCCAGATAATCATCCTGATTAATCCGTCTGTCTCTAATTAAGATGACCAACAAGCATCTAGGAGTAAGATATTTACAAACTTGATAGACAGAATTAGAGTGGGAGAGTGTTCATACTATGATGTATACAGGTGTGTTGTATGTCTCCAAGAGAAATGTCCTTCAGGACAATAAAGTCTTTTGCACTTTCAATGTAAGCAATGGGGATAATAATCTATATATGTATGTATGATCAGATAACTTAGTCTAGCTTCTGTAGTTGTGTATATGGACACAACATCAACAGGGTCAGGGTTAGAGTCCCTCTGAGAGACCACATACTGAATCATCTTCTAAAGCATCCATATGTGCTTCAGACAGAAATACCCACCAACCCACACATAATCTCTCTCAGCAGCTTGATATCACTGTTGGCGATTCCTCATTTAACCCAGCCCGAGGCTAGCGGTACCTGTGTGAATGAGGAATGCTAACGGACTGGTTTGTGGCAAAAGAAAGTGCAACTAATGAGGCTCTGAAGTACCGCAGGATTGTTACTGTTGGTTTCTCTCTTCAAGTCCAAATGCAGTCGCTTTGTGTTTGTTCTTTAAGAGCTATTGAATCTTAATCTAACAATTTAATATCCATAAACATGTTCTTCAGCATATATTATGTGTGTTCAAACGAGACGTTCAGGGTTTGATTTTGTCTTATTAATAAATCCCATGAAAAGGCTTAAACCAGTTTGTTAGTCTGTCTCTCAGTACTTTCTGGCTTCTCATATGTGAAGATGTAAAGCATTAAAATACGTCTCACACATAAACATTACTCTAACGAGCTCACTAATTTCCGAAAACAGCTGATCACTTCAGCAAATGTTTTTCAAACTGGAAACAATAGTGCATTTGTTTGGGACTATTATCAGCGGCGGATTAAGACACTCTTGCTGCTCTAGTGAATACTTCTGGCAGCATGATGGTGTATTTGGGACTGAGTCAAAATAGCTACAGTGTATGTGTTCATGTGATGAAGGAATATGTCACCCAGTGCAACAGTGTGACTCACAGATGTGTTTTTAATAGTTTCTGACAACAATGGAGCTCTATGGCACAGAGGAATAAGATATATCAGGCTCTGGATACACACCCAGTACTTGTCAGGGGGGTCAAGTTACAGTTGGCTTTGGTCTTTCATGGGAACTGTTGACATAAAGGAAAACATACAATACAATCATACTTTTTCTTTGAACTCCTCGGTTGGAATAAACAGATGAGGGAGACCTGTGTAATTAGCCTGTGCAGCAAATGGAAGACGGTCAACTTCATCAACAGACAATACAAGACGTCACAGTCCTGCTAACGCTGTTTGATTGACGGATCAACTCTAGTTCGGAGTGTTGGGAAAAGATCCCTCTCATAATTACGTGGCTGCTTACGTGTGTTTTGTCTTAAATTAGGATTAAGTTTCTTAAACTTTGGCTGACACGAAGCATCATGTTTGTGAGCTTTTCATTCACTTCTGTAAAGTATACTGCCAAGTCCAATGCATCAGAGCTTTGTTATATGTTAATCACCACATGATCTCGTAGGTAACTCCTAACCTGTTTGGATACAAACACGAGATGTTATTCCAGTACATTTGCCAGCTGGTGAGAATAAGCTTCATCTGAACTGCGTTTCACCCTTAACAGAGCGAATGAGTTGACTCTGTGCAGAACGGAGCTTCTGAGTTCAGGTCTTTGTGTTTTTGTGGGTGTCGAGCCAGAGCCTTGTAGAAACAGTCTGACAACACGCAGCCTGTCTGCGTGTTTCCACAGAGGCCAGACGTCAGGCAGACCAACAGCACGCTGACACTGAGCTTCTGTTAACAGCGTGGAAATTCTCCTGTGTCCTCCCCATGCTCCCACACACACCTGAGTGAACAGGTCGTGTTGTGGTTGAGCTTTATGATACAAAGTCTGCACTGTGTGTGTTTGGCTGTGGAAACTGCTTCTCACTGTTTTCCACAGGATTTACTGTCTGTGTCTCTGTTTTTCTGCCTCTTTCTCTCTCTTGAAGTTAGAGAGAGGTTTTGTTTTTACCGCGTTTGCTAGAAAAATATATCTAAAAACTGGAGAAATAACAATTCAACTGAAATCAGATGAACGCATAAGCCCAGAGATCAGTTCCTTTGATTTTGGTTACAGTTTTTCAACCAAAACAATCACGCTGCATGTGAAACAGTGGCGTGATAAGTACTCAGAAAAATATAGAATGTATTATTACATGCATTCAAAATGGTACTCAAATAAAGTAAAAAATAAACACAATGTAATGAAATAGTATTAAAAGTAAAAAAATAGTCACTCTGCTGCAGAATGTCCTGTATCAGTGTGATATTATTTTATTAAAATCTTCATTTGAAATGTAACTATTAACTATAGATGTCAAATAAATGAGAGTACAGTATTTCCTTTTGAGGTGTGTTCAACTGGAAGTATGGAATAGAATAAAATTGAAGTACAAGTACCTAATTGAAACCCTGGAAATGAAACCCTGAGGGAGGCTTCAGCCTTGTGAGTTGTACTTAAACTCCTCTGTGTTCTCTGAGCTCGGCGCTCCCTACATCAATTCTGGACTTATTTTTACATTGAGTGGGTGTGTTTCCACAGCTGGGTGGTCTGCAGGTCAGAGCTCAGTCTGTCTTCTCTACCTGTAGGTCTGAACCGACCAGGCTCAGGCCAGATCAGCACTCCACCACACAGTTAACAGTTCAGTGTTTCTCCACATGGTTCCAAAACTGTCATTTAGAGTCTGATTACATTGGCTTAAAATACAAGGGCTGATTATTTTCTACTGGTACTCAAATTAATCAGTTTTACTTTTCTAATATGATAAAATGTTTAAGGTTAATTGATCACATATTTACTTTCCAGACAAATTATGATTTATCTTATTAGCAATGGCAGTGTCGGTCTATCAGATGGTCTGTCCATCACTTTGATTCAGACTGAAATATCTCAACTATTTGACGGGTTGCTATAAAATGTAGAACATTGGTTGAATGCACCATACTGATTTTGACGATATCCTGACTTTAACTGTAGTGCCACCATGAGATTGAACATTCGTGGTTTTGAATGAAATGTCTCAACTATTGGATAAGTTGGCATGAAATTTGATCCAGATATTCAGGTCCCCCTCAGGATTTATTGTAATAACTTTCTGCCTGTTCCATCATCAGGTCACATTTTTCAGCTTGTCTGATAATATGGTTTATGACCACAAACCTGCAAAACTGATGGTATTCCCATCTGCCTCAGCTGTACTTTGTGTTTAGGGATAATTAGTTTTCCTTGGGGGACATATTATCGAAATATATTTCAGTTTATCTGGATGGCAATATGTGTCTTCAACTTCAAGTCATGTCTCATATTGTAACAACATGGTATGGTATCATGGATCTGCCGTTCATGTTGGTCTGTTTAAGAAGGATTTTCACCTCAACAAATGCCATCATCTTTGCATCAAAAGTTTAATATTTTAAATTTAAAGTCATCCTCCACTCAATTTTCACTCAGTTTTGCCTTTTGTTCCTTAACCTGGATGTTTGAGCTTCACTGTGCAGAATGATTAATGGGCAGAGTTTCACACTCGAAGACTGTTATTTTTACATTCCTCTGCTGAAAGGGGGGGAAGATTTCTCTGTCCTCACCTTAACTCTGAGTTTGTACAATCAGGATTTCGTGACGTCACAATGTTTTGAAACCAATCACAGTCCAGTATGCAACTTGCACAATAACATATTGCACCATGCTGATGTGGAAACTCAAACCCTCTAGGTGACATACACTGATAATGGATATTTCTGTAAGGGAGATGTTAAGTCGACATTTTCACGGAAATGAAATGAAATTTACAATAAGGCTGATGAGATGTCATTTTAAGAACCTTTGTTGAACACAACAAGGTAGTTGGAGTATTTTACTCACTATCTGGAAGAGATTCTGCTGATTCGAGGGTTAAACTTGGTGTTTTTTGGTCCAAACACTACAAATGAGTGACAGCGGAACATGTGACTGACCTGTTTATGTTTATGAACAACTTGAGTGATGACAGTTGTGTTAAATTTGTGATTAAAGAGCCACAAAATGTTTTCCATCTTCAACTCACACGGCTCCAGAACCGTCCTCTGGTTGGCTTTGTAACAGTGGTTTCTGTCTAGGAAAGACTGGAGGTTTTTGGAGTGGTAATCTGGTTTTTAGGGTATTTCATGAGCTGGTTTCTGGACGGGATCATACGACGGGGTTGGTCCGGATCACATGCCGGTGGTGGAGTCTAGTAAACAATACAGTAAATCACACCAGAGAGAGAAAGAGAGGTCTCATCTCTGTCTGTGTGAATTCTCTCTCCTCTACAGTATCACTGTTTCTAGCTATACATTTACACTAGATCAAGTGCTCAGTCAAATTAATGTTAATACAGAAATCCTACATTCTTAGATTTCAAAGTATGTAGCTATTTTCTAATAATCACACATGTAAACAAACTGGTGCTTAGAGTCAAACACAGGAGGACAAGGTCAGGCAGCATCTGTGTGACAAACAGCTGACACTCACCACTGTGTGTGTGTGTGTGTGTGTGTGTGTGTGTGTGTTCCCTGGCTGCCATTACATCAGCTGTAGTGTTGTGCTGACCCCTGCTGGTATTATCTAGTATCAAGTGTGTTATTGATGATACTGTACCTCTGTTATCACTGCCCGAGGTTTACTATTGACAGGGTGTCAAGACTTAAATTGTTTCTCTTATTTGCCGATAGGTATGCCGATCTTTGGTCTCTTTGCTGCTCATAAAATAAAATGTATAGCACGACTCAACAAATTTTTCAGTTCCTATCTGGATCTTCATCAGTTCCTCCTGTGTGTGTGTTTCTGTAGGGAAGGACGAGGCTCGGGGCCAGCTGGACAGCGCGCTGCAGGACGTCAACGTGCGTTACGCCGTCCTAGAGGACACGGAGAAGCGGGCGGTGTGCAGGGCGCTGATAGAAGAAAGGGCGCGCTACTGCAGCTTCGTCGGCATGCTGAAGCCTGTACTGGTCAGTGCTGCGTGTGTGTGACGAGTCAAACCACCACCATCGGACTGTGGTCTTTAAAATCCTCTTAAACTGACATAACCACGCTAATCATTAATATATGTGTGTGTGTATGTGTGTAGGACCATGAGATCAACATGCTGGGTGAGGTGACCCACCTGCAGACCATTCTGGAAGATCTGACCAATCTGACAGCTGAGCCCAATAAACTTCCACCAGCCAGCGAGCAGGTAACCTTTTCTTCCTCCCTCTGATGCTTTTGGTGACCTCTGACATTCCCTGTAGTACCACCCTCAGGCCAATATTTGATTTAAATCTTCTTAAATTAAGTTATTTGAATTTTTCTGCTCTAAAATCAGTATCGGTCGGAGTCGTCATTTGTGTTTTCTTTTTGTTTCTCAGGTGATTTTGGACCTGAAAGGTTCTGATTTCAACTACACCTATCAGACACCTCCAGCTTCTCCCAGTAATACTCTGTCCAGGAAGAGCAGCATCAGCAGGTAACACACACACACACACACACACACACACACACACACACACACACACACACACACACCACAGATGTTATTGGTTTACTTCACACTGTACTTGTTGTTGTGGTGTTGCTATCAAATATATCATGCTGATGCAGTTTAAAGCTGAATTTTCAGTGTGTCCTTAAACGTAGGGTTTGTGTGTTTTTGTAGTAACTACCAGTCTGGTTCAGTGAGACACGTTCCCTCTTTGGACTCCATCAGCTGTGCTGTCGATGGAGTACACATCCAGGTAACACACACACACACACACACACACACACACACACACACACACACACACACACACACAAAGATCACAGATACAGTGACTGTTTACCTAAACAGTTTATTTCTTTACATTACGATAAAGTTTTTGCTCAGAAAAAAAATCTGTCAGTATTTTAAAATTTTTTTTTTTTTCCAAAATAGCTGAACTCTTTAGATGATCTTGAATCTTTCTAGAATTATTTGTCACTTTATCTGTATAAAATTATATTACATCTTCATGGATTGTTTGAACAGTAAGCTTACATTTGAGATACAATATATGGCCAAAAGTATGGGGACACCACATACTTAAGTGTACCTTTTGGTGGGGCCGCTGTGCGCTCTTCATGGCAACAGTTTGGTGTAGGTCCTCTCCTGCCTCAACTCGAAAAAGGCCCCTGTGCACAAAGTCAGATCCAAAAAGAAACTGGTTTTCCCAGTTTGTTGTGGAAGAACTTGACTGACCTGAACAGAGTCCTGACTTCAACCCTATCCAGCACCTTTGGGATGAACTGGTACGGTGACTGAGAGCCAGACCTGATCACCGAACATCAGTGTTGGACCTCCCTAGTGCTCGTGTCTGAATGGAAACAAATCCCTAAGATCAGAAGGGTGGAGGCTGTTAGCTCACCAGGGTACTGTCCATTGTTTTTGATTTACACGTTCAAGAATAAAACATGGGTGAATTGTTGAAGTGTCTGCATACTTTTGGCCATGTAGTGTACATCAATCACATTCTGAGAATTATCTTATTTCAGCCAAACTCAATTAATGTAGGCTTTAAAACTTAAATTCAACTACAATGCAAATTCTGTTTAAACATTTATTCATGTCTTAAAGGTACATTTCACTCAAACTCCCACAATCCCACACACACTCTGACCCTTCTGCCAACTCTCAGCACCCCACACCCCCACTTTAAAATGACACTGTTGGCTTTGAGGATCTACAAAATAAAAGCTTTTCACCGTGACGAGGACTACACACACCGCTCTAATCCTCTCCTGTGTGTAGCGCTGCTCCTCCCCCTATCTGCTGATTGGCTGTGATGAAACTGGGCGGTCCCTGAGCGAAGGGAACTCCCCCTCTCGCCTCGGTCGTCAGGGCAGCCGTGGTCGCTACGGTTACGCTGCCGGCCATGGCCACCACCCCGCGCTGAGCCACCGCGTTAGCCGCAGGGATATGACCACCGTGAGAAAAAACTACAACTATTTACATTCCTCCCAACCCGAGCACCGTCCTGTGTTTTTACCGTGTTGTAACCGTTTGTCTTCCATCGGCTTCAGTCTGACTCCATCTCACATTACCTCCCACCGATTTACCGTTTAAATCCTCATGTTTTCTATCCGTTCACACTTGGCACTGATTTTTTTGCCTCTGGTTTCACCTTTATGTCTCTGATTTCATGCTCTCCAAATGTGTCAGTGAGCCTCATTTATCTCTAATCCAGCTCTGGTTTCATCCCATAAAATCTGGATTTCACTTCTCTGACATTTTAAACCCACTTCTTGAGCCTGTTCCACAAAACTTTGTACATTTGTGTCTGTTCACATGTACGGTGATTCAGTTTGTGTAAGTGTTTGCCTGACTGTACGTGTGTTTATCGTGTATTTTCTGCCTTGTCAGTGTCCTCTTTTAACGTGTTATGTCAGATGTTTGTGTCTTTGACTCACTGTTTGTCTCCTAGTCTGTATTTGACTAACAATGTTGTAGAGTCCTCAATTTTTGCTAAAAGTTAGATTGTAGCTGCACAGTCTTTTGTATTTACCCTGTAGTTTCCAAACAGACTCCTTCTGAGTCATTCAAAAGATCTTTAATGATTGATTAATGGTTGATTTTTTGTACTTTAAGCATTGAGGGGCATCTTTTTTTAAATAATTAATACTTACCACGTTCCCTTACTTGTTGAAGAAATGCCCTAGAGTGAAGCATTTAACCTTTAATCACTGTGGTGCAGACTGAAGAAATAGTAGCTGCGTCAAAGTTCAGCTATTTACTGTCAACTTTCACTTAAATAATAAACATTAAAAACCACTGCGTACAGCTCAACACTTACAAATTATCATATCTCGACTGATACTGAATTTTTTTAGCCAATCAGCAGCCGTATACACCAGTACTGATATATCTGTGACAAGCTCATATCAGCTGATATATCTTCATTAGTAATCTGCTGATTAATAATCTTTCCTGATCATTTGGTTAATAAAATGTAAGAAAATGAAATTGAATTTACTAATTTGCTTCAATCAACAGTCTAAAATCCAAAAATAGTCAGTTTACAATGATACGAAACAGAGAAAAGCAACAAATCCTCACATTTTGAGAAGCTGGATTTGGCTTAAAAAATTATTGAAACGACTAATCAATCGACAAAATTGTTGTTGATTAGACACTTGAATAATTGACTGATCCTTTCAGCTCTAAATGTTTTATTGTTTTGACTAATGGAGGTGCTGAAAGAGCTGCGATAACGTATCCAAAAGCCTGATGTTGACAGTCAGTATGTACCACCAGACGCGTATATCCTGTATATCCTACTTTCCGCATGTGATCCCTTCGTCCCGCCTTCGTCCCGCTGGTAGATACCTCGTCACATATCTCTCTCCTGTTGTCAAGACACCCACTCTGTCGTGGAATTTAAATGGGTGTTAATATGGCTGTCCGTGGTGTCTTGTCAGTGGTCCCGTGATTGCAGTGTTTCCCTTGCCTGTTAAGTGATGATGGAAATATACCAAGTGTGTGTGTGCGCTGTAAATTGGAGAGTTTATTTCCAAAGTTCTACAAGAAAGATTTGCATAAATCCAGTAAGTCACAATATCTTTACAGAGATTTACTGAAGCACAGACTCTCTAAAAGTGCCTCATTTAGTCAACTGAGGAGCTTTCTGAGATTACTTAAAAGCACCGTTAATGTTGCATGATTCAGCCTTTTTCTAGTAATGAAAATATATTTGTGAGTTCAGACGGACTAACACATTTTCATGGGATTTGTTATCAGTAAGAACAATATAAAACAACACCAGCTCCTTTTTAAAAGCATTTTAGTTGTTTCACTTTGGATCCAGACTCTTCTGTTATAGTTATTTGTCTTCTCTAGTGATCACCTTGTGGAAACCAGCTCCTACCCTTCCACACTTTCTCTTAAATACCTGGGTAACTTGGAAATGTGAACTTTTTCCATTGATTGAGGCAGAGTTTGTAGCTGGCATGGATTCTTGGTTTCATTGAGAGCCTTTCCCCTTACAGAGACTTACGGAAACGGACAACATTTTCCAATCCTAATCTTTAACTTTTAAATACAAGCTAAAATGTTGTGTTGATGTTAATGTACCAGCAGCCAATGTAGAAATCCTACTTAAAACAGTAAATACATCTTATCTCAAGAGTAGTCATTTAAAAAAAATCTTTATTTTAATGTTCTTCTGACAGGAAAATGTATTTAATGCTGTGTAATTAATCTGGAGCTGTACAAGTAATCTAATAATTGATGTGTGATGTGGGACTTCTACGATGGCTCCATGGGATTAAGTTCTGTATACTTCGGTAACGGTGTTGTCGTTTACGCTGACGCTACCGGATCATTAAATCGACTGTGATTGGTTTCTTTACGACAGGACGCAGTTGGCTCCACCAATCAGCTTGCAGCTGCGGGTAGTGGAGGGGCAGAGAACGGCATGTTGGCCCCCCCACACAACGCCTACACACACCACGGAGAGAGAGCTCGAGCCATGTCTGCTTCTGGGAAGGTAACACACACAAAAACAAACACACACACCACACACACACACACACACAGACACAGACACACACACAGATCAGTTCACTAAAAAACCCTGAAGTTCGAAGTCCACATGAGCCACTGGAGGGCAGCAGGAGACCAGAGGTGGACGGCACATCTTTTCATCACCTCTCCTTTCCTCTCTTTGTTTCCCCTCTCATCTCCTTCTTTCCTTGTTTCATCTCCTGTTCCAGTTTCCTCTTGTCCTCTCCTTATTCTCTCTCCCATGTTACCTTTTATCTCCTCTCCTCTCTAGAACATCATGTTGTTGGGAAAACGTGTGAATTAAACTTAATGATAATAAACTCTCTAACCTCGCCTCATCCTCTCTTTCTCTCAGTCATGCTCGGCCCGGGATCAGCTGGCTCTGACGTTAGGTGCGTTGAATTCGGACGGCCAGAGGAGCAGCAGGGACTCTCTGCACTGTTCCAGTGGCTACAGCACGCAGACCACCACCCCGTCCTGCTCTGAGGACACCATACACACACACAGTGAGTGTACACACACACACACACACACACAAATAAACACACAGTGAGTACAGACACAGCCATAAACAACCTAAAACACATTTTAAAATAAATAAGGCTCATTGTGTTTATACAAACTGATTTTTATGCATCCGGAAGATGTTCGGTTTCCTGCTGCATTCAGCAATCACGGACAAAAACATTAGTAAATGTGAATGAGCTTCTGAATCTCTAAATATGAGTCTGACTTAAAGGAATAACTTGTGATTCAAATAGAAACTAAAGAGACAATTCAACAAACAAGTCTGGCAAATGAGACATGAATGTGAACACAAACTCACTCAGGGAGCTCTAACCCTGCTAAATGATCCGTATGACTGAACCTCTCAGCTGCCCTCTGTGGTGTTTTTGTTTTTGGATGAAACTGACTCTGTTGACCCGTCTGTCATCTCAGTTATTTACTAGTTTCTTCTGTATTTCTCTGTGTTAACTGGTGTACTGTCTCCTCTCTGGTGCTCTGCTGTGTTCTTTCAGTAGTTTTGTGTTTTCTTGGCTAAACTTCCTTCCTTCTCTTCCAGCTGTAAAGAGAGATCCTCCCCTCTATGGTAGGTCTCTGACTCTCCCTGTCTGTTTATGAGCCTGTCTGTCTGCCTTCTTGCCTGTTTATCTCCCAGCGAAGGTCAGGGAATTGATTTGCATATCATCACATCTGCATTCAGCTTTGCATTCAGCTTTGCATTCTTTTTTGAACTGAAATTCAAAGATTCAGTAAAGAACTTTATCAGCTTTTGTTGGCTGAGAAGGCAGAAACACTACAGTTTTGAATAGCAGTCTAATTAGTAAGGATGTCCCAATCAAGTTTTTTTGTCCCTGATCCAGATCTGATGCACTTAATCCAAATACTAAAGGCCCTGGTTCAAAAATATAAATCATTGATCTGATATAAATGAAAGTTAAACTGAATGAGAGCTAGAGTAAAGACGTAGCACGGCAGAGGGAGCACTATAACCAGACAACAGTCGTAATGTCGTCTTGTTAAGTTATTCATGGGATTAAAATTAATTAGTGACAGCTGATATGATCTGCTAGTTGAATGTTTTAGACACCGGTCTATGCGGTCTATTGGTGCTCCCACATATATTTTCCAAATATCATGAGATTTAGGGCTGCAACTAATGACTATTTTCATTATTGATAAAATGACAGAAAATGGTGAAAATACCGATCGTAATGTCTCAGAGATATTTAGTTAACATATAACAAAGTACAGCGGCACAACCTGAGAATGTTTAGTATTAAATGTGTTCTCTGTAGTCAGATTTGTGGTTGTTTATTATTACTTTGGTACTAAAACTAATTTCCCTTATTGAAATCTTCCATTTGTGCAGCTGTTTCTTACTGTTGGCAGCTGACATACACGACTCTCTTATGAAATATTTGATAATTCAGCATTAAAATAATGATAGTTGTTTTACGTCATTCCCATGAAGCAACCTCTATTTTTAATTCAATTACTCAGAACATTACACTGGGTCTGTGTTTGTGTGTGACTTTAAGTAATGTGGTTACATGTTCTCTGTTTCTGTTGGATAAGAGTTTCCACATTGATGCATCCTAATTGTTCTGATACACACACACACACACACACACGACCAGTGAGTCACTGATGTGATTATGTGTTCCTGCTGCTTCGTCATCTGGCTGTCAGATGAGGAGATGAAAACACTTAAATCAAATGTCATCAAGATAACAGAAGTCCAGCTGCATGCAGAGCAACAACTAATATCTTCTTTGTCTCTCTCTCTAGTCGACTACGAGTCTATCTCTCTCCACGGGGACGCCGACTCCATCTCCTTACATCACCTCTCCCACGGCAACAACCAGTCTGACTTTGACAAGTCCTCCACCATCCCAAGGAACTCCGACCTCAGTTTCCAGTACAGGAAGTTTGCTCAGTCCAAGCGCCCCTCCTCCACTGTCAGCCTATTGGCTGAGCCCGAATTGATGGGCAGGTCGGTTCACCAGCTGCCGTCCCACACGGCAACCATCAGGCGCAAACCGTCGTCCAAGCCGGCGTATCGCAGGGGCACGATCAGCGGAGGGGTTCCCATCCCCATCAGCACCCCACAGGTTCCCCTTAAAGCTTTTGCAGGAAATGGCGGGAGCGATGAGAACGTCTTCACAGCGCCCGCTGCTGTAGGAGCAGGAGGTCTAGGTTACAGTAAACTCTGCACCTCCACGCAGAGCCTCAGTGCCTTGCCTCCCTCCTCTTCCTCCCCGTACTACCAGCTGGTCCCTGGTCAGATGCCCATACCGGTGCCCGTACCCACTGTACCCTCCCTGCCACCGGAGGGCAGCAGTGCCAAACAGCAACAACAGAGACAGTACCAGCAACAACTACAGCAACAACAGCAAATCAACCAACAACTGAACCATCAGCAACAACGCAGTCAACTACAGCAGCAGCAGCAGCAGCAGCATTATCAGCAACAGTTTCAAGAACAACAGCAACTACAACTACAGCAACTACAGCAACATCAGCAGCAGCAACATCAGCAGCAGCAGCAACAACTACAGCAACAGTTTCAACAACAGCAGCAACAATATCAGCAGCAGCAGCAACAACTACAGCAACAGTTTCAACATCAACAATCACTGCTTCAGCAACCCCAGCAACTGCAAAATCAACAAGGTCAGTATCAGCAGCAAGACCAGCATCAGCAACATCTGAACCAGCACCAACAACAGCTGAGCCAGCAGCAGAAACAGCTTCTGTTCCAGCAGCAGCAGCAGCAGCAGGCCCAGCTCCAGGCCTCTGCTTCCCAGGGAGAGCCCTCCAGTCTAGGCCACAGCGCTCACTATCAGCCCCAGGCTCCTCCACCCTGCAGCCAGGACCAGAACCCGGAGCAGCTGGTCCAGGCGGAAGGAGGAGACATGCTGACCAAAATCAGAGGAGTCAAGCTCAAAAGGACCCTCACCAACGATCGCTCCGCCCCTCTCCTGCCTCCTCCGACCAATCACAAATGAGGCTGAACGAGCGACGCTTTTGCTTCCCTGCAGGTTTATTAGTTTAATGGCACAGAGCAAAATCACACACACAGACTTCCTGTTATATACAGATTGTGGACTGATTATTGCTGGAACTCGACACGTGTCTTCTTTTCTAAAGTTCTGCTTCCTTTTAAGCTGTTTAGATTTCTGTTTGTTTTAAACCATTCTGAGACTTTCTTTGTCGTTATTTCCTGTTGCTGCAGCGACCATCTTTTTGCCTTTGTTTTTTTTGTTTTGGTTCGTGTTTGCATTTCGATTGTGCATAAAGTTTTTGTCTGACACAGTCTCACCCATAGAACTGTTGATTGTTTTAGTTAGTACTCACTTCCTGGTCAGATGATCGTTACGTGGCTGGTTAATTAGCCAGACAGGAAGCTTTTAGTGTCTCAGATCCTCTTCAGTCCTGGGTGTGTTTGATTTGCCTGTTGTCTAGAGTCCCAGACGGGTGGGGTTTAGTAATTAGTCCAGTAGCTCCCTCCACTGTGTCACATGGTTGAACCATGCTGTGTGGAGGTTTTAATTTGCTGGCTGTGGGTCAGTGCTGGTCCAGTGTGAGTGACAGTTCAGTCGTCTGTTCCAGGTTAACTCAAAGAGCCGAACACCGAACCCGACGCTCATAACTCTTGAATAAAACATCGACGGGGTCTGTTGATTGTAAATATGTTCCAACAAAAAAAAAAAGAAGAAAAAAAGCTTTGGGGGCACCTGGGGAGGATGGATGTTTTGCTTAATGGCATCTTGTTAAAGGTCATTCACTTTTATTGGAACTGAAGACGAGTCACAGTTTTGATTCCCTCACCTTCAAGTGGCAACAGTTTCCTCTACTGGGACGCCCAATGGACGACTACAGTGTGTGCAAAAGGATTAAAAACGTTACTGTGTGCGAATTCCTGGTTTAATGTGTAAATAAGTAGCTGGTTAATACGAGGAATAATAGCGAGAAGACAGTGGTTCGTTTGCAACTTTTAGAGGCAACGCTGTTGTTCTAGGAGAAAGCAGACCGGGAACTATGGCTGACGTCATTGCTGAGAACATAGCGGGCTATGAGAAGCAGAACTGTTAAAAATAGTCAGTCACAGCTGCTGGGGACGTACAGGTCTGTGCAGGTTTGAAGGCAGCGATCATTAGATACAGCCACTGTGTTGGAACATGTAGTTGAACTTTCTGCTACCACTTTTTAAATCATTTAATATTTTGAGCCCACACAAGATTAGTGAGGCGGATATCAGCCAATATTTTCTTTTTAACATAAATATAACAACAATGTTGATAAGGAACCCTTAAATTTGGTTAAGAATTGTGACCAAGATATGTACTGATTGGACAAACTATGTAATGTAGACACAGTTTCCCATCAACCACATACATATTTGGCATTTCCGGTAAACATTGGACAACATATGCAACAGTACATACACATTAAGTTGCATCAAATGATGTCTGACTTCTATCAACTGTTGTGAGTCACCGGAAAGAACAATAACGACACTAGAGGCAGAACAATAAATCGTCTTTTACCTGCGAACATGTCGGCTAAAAAATATGTCGGTACGGAATTGCCGTGTGTTTTAATTGATTTAGAAACAGTGTGTCCGCTACATAGTTTGTCCTTTAAAGAGCACTGACACAATCTTTTTGAATTAGTTTTATTTTTACACTGTAAAATGTCCAGTTCAGTACATTTCTTTGTCACAATAACGAACAATCATCAGTTTAAGGGCTCTTCAACTCTTAGATACAATTACGGTGTCACTCAGTCTTTGCACAGTAAATATGCTGGCGATGAAGTATTGTTTGACCAACAGCCTGAAACCAAAAGATATTCAGTTTACTGTCACATAAAGTGAAATCAGAAATTTCTCAGACTTCAGAAGCTGAATCTTGTTGATCAGCTATTTGTTTCAGATCAGTTATTTAATCAACCAGTTTAAACTGACATCTTCACACTCACAATATAACGTCAGTTTTTATATATTCAGCAGGTAGACGGAGGAAGAGCGCTCCTTTGTCACTCCTCCAGCACGGTGGCGTTTCCAACTGTTAGAAAACTGCAAACCTCTGCTGACAGGTCTCTGATTTACCCTTGAAATGCAAAAATCATTGACTTTTACTGTTTAAAGTTCACAATAAAAGTGAATGTTTAATAAAGACACTGCTAGAGTTTGATTTTGTTTGAGTGTTTAAATGCAGCTCGCTCACTGACATTCTGTTCAGTCAGCATTTGAACTGGAAATCCTCCAACTCAGCAGATTTACCTTCTTTGAAATAGCGGCTTTACAGCCAATCAGAGCGCAGCACTGTGAGGACTGTGTGTTTGCGTTCAACTTTTAGCTTTAAATTAAACTATATTTATCTACAGAGTTTGGTTGGGCTCCAATAGCTGGTTCTATTTTGGATCCCGGTCTAAGTTGGTAAAATATCTGTTAATTTGTTAATCTGTACTCCTTTTATCTCCTCGCTCTCTGTTTCTCTTTTTTTGGCTGAGATCATGTGTACAATAAGCTGATTCCAGACCTTTCAGCCAGAGCTGATCAAAGCAGCTTTAGAAGTTGAGAAGTTAGTCTGAAATCAGCACATTTCTTGAGTCATCGTGAGCAAAATAACCCCCCCGAACATGAGCCTGACTTCAGACTTGAATTATGACACGAGTGGTTTCAGAGTTGTTAAAAGACGTGTTGCCTCTAAAAGTTGCCTGTCGAGCGTGGACTTCATACGATAGGCTGTCAGAGCAGGCCGGGACGCGGGGCCGTAGATACTACTGAGGACTGAGGTTGTGTCCTCGGTTGGGGAATTTGGGAGGTTAAACGACGAGAGGAGGAGTTTATCAGAGCTTTTTAACTAATCCATTAAATCCAAAGTCCAAAGATATTCAGCTTACAATAGCAGAAACAAACATTTGCATTTGAAAAGCGAGAACCAGAAGAGTTTTGGTGTTTTGCTTAAAGAATGTCTTAAAAGTTTAAAAGATTATAAAAATTGTTGCTGTTTCTGTTGATCGACTCGTTTCTGTTATATTTTTAGACCAAATAACTGAATGTGATATTTTCAGTAAGACACGAAAGTTAAAATAAAAGTAATTTAGCATTTTCCAACAGAGTTACATACTTGAAGGTGAAGAGGAGGCTATGATGCTTAATGCTGTATATTTTCTTTAAATACTCACAAAATTGAACAGAGTTTGGTTGGTGGCTCGTCAAACATTTCCTCCATGTGTGGGACTTTATGGCTCAGGACCTCCAGTATTTCTCAAATCCTGGCTACGGCCCTGCTGGAAATCTGAGGCCATCTGCATGCTGGGAAATGCAGTCCAGTCTCTGGTCAGCTGGTCCTGGTCTGTTCTCAGAGAAACCTTTCTGCGTATTTAGGAATCTCCTGCAGCTGATTAAAGTGTTTTATGTTGATGATGAGACAGAGAAGCTTCCTTCTGAACAGTCTGAGAGCTTCTGATATTCATTTGATTGATTGATTGATTGATTGGACCCAAGCCCCACAGCAAGTGTGTGTGTATATATTAGTGCTTCTATTCCTGGGAGAGATCTAAATCTATATATAAAAATGTATGTATACATATCCTGATTGTATTTTTGTTGATTTATTGATCAGACGATGTGATCAGACGTGACACCGGCATCAATCGTCACTCGTCATATTTTTGTAGAAAAGCTTTAATGGATGAAACCCAGTGAACTTCCTGATGTTTGAGGATCTGAAACCCGATTGGATGTCTGACTGTCGAGCAGCGAACGAAGGACTAAACGGACGACTTGAACCAACAGAATGTAGAAATGTCTTGTTTTTCATCTTTTGATGTTCACTGTGGGATCAATAATAATAATAATAATAATTGATTCATCAATTATGGTGGTACTTTTTTGTGTGTCCTGTATTTGCTGTCACTATCCAGCTGGAACAGTTCATATTTATATATATTTATATATATTTACTAAGGATTCATTGTTCTTTCTTTCACCTTTTTTGGGGACGTTTTTAATTTGAAAAGTTGAATATTGAATTTAAAGCAAAAGATAAAAGAAAGAAGTAGCACAATATTTCCTACAGACCAACATGAAGCACATCCTGCCAACACCTGGCTGCTAGAGTTTTTAATATTTTAGTTTAATTTCTTCAAACAGGGTAAAAAAAAAAAAACCAACTATAACTAAACTCAGTAATTCAGTATCAAAAGTATCAAATCACTTTCCAAACTTCGATACATCTGTGATCTCGTCTTAGGGCTGCTAGCACTACTTATCAATTAATCTGATTATTATTTTCACCATTAGGTTCAGTGTTTAGTAAAGTGCCACAACTTGACAATTTCCTAAAAATCAACATTCTAAAACACAAAGTATTCAGTTAACTATCACAAGACTAACTAATAACTGACTAATGGATACATTTTTCCAGCTCTATTTATAGTAGTATACTAGTATTTATAGACATTTTAATGCAGAAATGTTACATATTACCTCTTTAATACCTTAGTAATCAAAGGGAGATCAAACGTGTGTATATTTGTATGTGTGATTTAGTTTCCCAAAGTCGGAAACTAATAAAAGCCCTCAAACAAATGTCAGGGCGCCTTTTTCCAAGCTCAGACTTTAAAAACCTGAAATCTGCCTCTCTGCTGTAATGCTGCCATCTGCTGGTCACTCCGAGGTTAGGAAACCACCCCGAGGTTGAGACCAGTTTGCAGGAATACGTGGGTTTAGATTGTGCATGGATGGATTTAACACTTAGGAACATCCATGAATGGCACTTGGGAACGCGGCCCTGAATAAAAACAACTAGGACTGCAACTTATGATCCCACTGAGATGGCTGAGATGACGCTGAAAAGACGTTTAATAGATGTCTGTTATACATCTGTTTGTCTTCAGACGTTTAGATTGGATGAAAGGTTATTTAAGGTTGACAAGTGGAAGTTTAGGACTAAACATAGACATCGTTTCAACGTCTTCTCGACGACAGGTGAGATTTCACCAGGGTTTAGATTAATTGTTTAACATACATCTTTTATACATTGAATAAATATACAGATGGCCCATTATACAATTTGAAAATGAATATAAATAAATATAAATGAGATATATTAAAATGAAATATATCAAAACAAAACATAATCTGTAAATAAAACTGAGAATACACAAAAAATGGGGGACAGAAATGTGTCATCCTCAGCTGATTAACCACCAGCTCCTCCGGCTCACTCTCCGGTTAAACATCCTCAGTGACTACCCATGATCCTTAGGGTGTAATTTAGGCCAGGGTGGGGCACACACAAACACCAAACTCTGCGGGGGTTATTATGAACGCACTAACCCCAGTGTGACTGTTAGCAGCTCACAGCAGTAAGTTATGATTTGCTCCCTCTGTTATCACGTGTCTTCACTTCGGGATCATCTCTGTGAGTTATCGCCCACGTGAGAAACACAAGCTGCTTCCAGGAGGGATTAAATCACACACACACACACACACACACACAGTGTGGATTCTCAGTTCAATCAGATTGTGATGAATCTCCTCCTCTGAGTGCTACAGACGTCACAATTAGTGAACTGAACAAAAATCTTTTCTACTGATAGCCTAATTTGGCGTGGACTGCTTCCAGGAAATAGCCACATCCTTGCACTCTGATCTGAGTCTGGCATTCATCAAAATAACATTCTCTCTCTGGTCTCAGGTCCTCCTTCGTAATTTAACGAGGGGGGTCTGGGTGAAAAAATAACCCACATTCGACTAAAAGGACTAAAATCACCCACCTCCATGAAGAAATCAGTCCTGTCAGAGCAAATTTTATTCAGGTAACCGGTCATGGACGCTGTCATAAATTGACTTTTTTATCCAGTTTTAATCCACATTTTTACAATACGCTCTTTAGATCCTGGTCCTTTTTAACTATAGATTTTAACTGGATCTCAAGTTATCAGAGAAACAAACTGAGCAACATTGATTTTTAAGGTGAAACTGCTTTATTCAGTGTGGATAATTCGGCTACCGGTAAAAAATCCTCCTGAACGATGAACACTGAAGGAATCTAACGTGACATAAAACCTACGCCCATGTATGCTTGATAACATTTTGAGATTTGGAATCAAACTTTGGCTTCGCATCTCTGGACTTTCATAGTAATGATAATAATAAGAACAACAAGAAGTAAAAGTCCAACAGTATACAGGACCTCTGCATTGTGTCAGAGGTTTTTTCAAGATTAAGGTCAAAGTTGAACGTATCTAATATCAACAGCAGCTGGCGAGAGACTAAAGGACTGTCTCCTTTTGATCACAACAATGATTGAGACTTTTTTTATTCAGCCTCTTCTTTCTGCTTCTTTTCTTCCCTCGTCTGTTCTTTCTTTTCTTCACCTGCTGCGTGTGAGTCATCTGATGCTCAGGGGCAACAGGTGGAAGGCAAGGGACTTGGATTACAACGACACACACACACACACACACACACACAAACGCACACACACACAAACATGCTTCCATCCAGTAAATCAGATGTTATTGTGTTGACATCAGACTGTTTACAGGCCAGTAGAGTCAGTTTGACTTTTAAGAGGGAGACAGAGAGAGAGCGAGACAGGTGAGTTGGTCCACATCAATAGCGCTTAGTCATTGTTACATAAAAACACACACACACACACACACACACACACACACACACACACACACACACACACACACAGTTGCTGTCACAGCGGTGAGTCAGACTGACCCAGATACTGAAGGACACAAACTCTCTCCGTGGCAGCTGCTCAATGACTCAAACCTCACATCACAATGACTCTGCACAAATGTGTGTATGTCAGGTGTGTTGCGCCAGTGTTGCACCAGCTGCAGTTCCACTCTGCACCACTGGAGGGCACAGTAGACCACAGCAGGGGCGTCTTCAGAGGAGGAAGATTTACTTTATTAATCCCAATGGGGGAATTCTCTTTCCACTCACTGTTTACACATGAAACACACTCACGCACACTCAGGGCTTATAGACATGCAAATGGGGAGAGATGGGGGAGTGATGGGCTGCCACGTAGCGGGGCTCCGGGAGCAGTTAGGAGTTAGGCGCCTTGGCTCAAGTCTCCTCGGAAGTGCACAGAAGGTGGAACTGGCACCTCTCCAGCTACCAGTCCACACTCCATACTGTGGTCGGTGCTGGACTTGAACCGTTCACTACCAGAATGTTTCCTCCTACATGGAAACAGTTGTGTGTCTTATTTGTTTCCAATAAACTTTCTTTGATTTCTAGAAAATGTGTCCTGGAAAGCTTCAAATGTGTCCTCAGCAAAGAATGTCTGGCCCTGTTCACACCTGGCACTGACAAGCATTTGGGGCGGGTCAGTCACAAGGAGACAGCTCTGAGTACGTCAGCTCAGACCTGGTGTTAGAATGCGGCTCCACACGCGCCTCGAGTGGCCACTTGTGATTGGGTCTCACTTCCCCGCTGTATATGCAGTTACATTCTTGGCCTTTAACCTACTCAGAACTGTCAACTGAATGTTCATTACTGTCCATTTCAATTTCAAGTTCAATACAGAGATTGGAGTGTTGGTTCCTTTTTTTTTTCAGTTTAGTGCCACACTAAACTCCTATATCAACCTACATGAGTTTCATGTTTTACCTGCGCTGTCAGGAGCCCTGCAGGAGAGACGCTCTGTGGTGCCCTGGGATTTTATAACTGAACTATGAGCACACTTTCACTTTCTCTGACTTTGTGGAAATCTTGAAATGAAATGTCTTTACTGCCAGCAAGGGTTTGGCTTTGGATCTTATGGCTGCTGGCCCGATGAACAGACAATAATAGTAATAATACATTTTATTTTTAAAACACGTCCTTTCAAAACACAAGTTGTAAGTGCTTCACATAAAGAAACAAGGAATTCCGTCCTGATTTCCTCAGGTATCAGGTGGCCGATGTTGATCCTCCTGTTGCCCTTTATGGGGACAGTGGGTGCTACAAGAAGATGTGGAAGTCTAGGCTGAAGGCCAGATTGAGTGAGTGGCCAAATATCATTGTTGCTTGAACGTCTAGTATTTCATGCGTCATCTGGCAGTGCGATATGCCACAAATGAAATCAGCTGTAGCCCACTTTCATGACACGGATATCAGGCTGCATTCCGTGGCAGAGTTACTCATGCTGCTTGGCATCAGGACAAGTTGCTGACAGGTGGCTTTATGTCCCCCAAAAATACGGCAGCAAAGAGGCGTGTTCTGGGTTCAAGCGGTTCGCCTGCTCAGTGGCTGCCGTCTTATTGAGACTATCTTTGTGAGGCTGTTCCAACATTTACACAAACCCCCCAAAAAGTGGCACAGCACGTCAAATGGTCTCCCATTCTGCAGAACTTTTGTTCAATGGTGATAATACTGCAGCAAACCACCCTTCAACTGGTGAGGTAAACCAGACCACCCTCATTCTGAAGGGTCAGCTTGAGTTTCGTCCACAATATCAACATCTGCTGCACACCTGCAACATGCCACCAAACACAGCTGGGCAGTCAGAAACCAGATTCTGGCAGATCAAGCCTTCAGTTACCTCCACAGAGCCATTAGCCCCCACCTTCAGTCTCATTCCACCTACATCCAACTCCTTCGGTGCATCTTCCAGGTACTTCAGTTCTGCCAGGGACAGAGGCCAACAGCGCTACAGCCACAGCTGTTTTGTCTAACTGGTGTCAGCCGCAGTTGTTGACGCTGCCGAGTACTATCCTCGGACCAAGTGCCACCAACACTGACTCTGACAGTCCTGCCAGTTACACAGCTGCACAAGTAAAACGCAAATACGATCGGAAGGTCACATTTAATACTTCTTATTATATTATTTATTATTATATTACTATAATTGCAGTTTTGCTCACAAGAGACTGGCCATAGCCAACACAAAGACCAAACACTGAGACCGTCAGCAAACAGTGGCTGAGGCTGATGAGAGAGAACTTAAAACTGCTGAACTCAGTTACAGTTGATGTAAGCAAGAAGTATAATGTTACCAAAGAGTAAGATAGCAGTGGGTTAAATCTTCAGCCTTGTTGTTTTTAGCTTGTATTTATTTATATTTTGGCAAATTGTCTCCCATTAAAAGTACGCTGTATTAGCTATTAGCAGTTCAATTATCATAAAATTAATTTTATATTGAATAAAACTTAAACACACAATGATTTATCAGAGTTTTTCCTATGATTTCTAAAGGGATTTATGGATGTTTATAAGTGATTTACATAATATCTGAAGTCAAAGCCATTAAAAAGAATCGCCCTGCAGATTTATTATAGATATAAGTGTTTAAGTTATAGTTATAAAAATAAATATTTCATTTTTCAATGTATCATTTTTCTTTACTCCCTCTCTTCTCTCCCTTCTTAAACAGACAGTTGTTCCCCAGCTTTAATTTAAAGGTTTAGCTTCAACACAAGGTAAGCTTTAACCTACCTTATGTGTCTGTATGAGACACAGAGGGGCATGATAGCACTGTCAGGATTTGATGACCTGGGATGAAAACGTGTTCAATGGCAAACAAACAATGTGGCACAACATCATTTCAGCCAATCAGCAACGGGAGGCGTTTGTGCTCGTGCACGGGAGATGGGGAGATGGGGAGATGTTGGGAGCGAAAAGGTGTTATGATCAGGAAAGGAGCTGCAATAACATTGGTGGTCGTGTTTTGGGTGTTTGTGAGCTTACATGTTGTTCATTTGAAGTTTTATATTATAATGTTATATTATAAAAGGGGCACTGCATACTTACACTATACTAGAAACACCAGCAGTGTTGAAGCATACACTGCTTCATCTATTTTACTCTGAATAGGACCATAACTTACAAAATGAACATCATGCTGCATGGAAGAAGACTTGAAACTAGAGATTAGGAAGCGGTTTACTGACGTTATAAGCTTAAGCATACGTAATAAGCTTACATACAATCGGTCTTCGTTTTGCATCGAGTGGAGTCGCCCCCTGCTGGCCATTAGAAATAATAGAGGTTTAGGACACTTCCACATTGGTTTCACGTGGAAGCTTCCTCATCCACCATTCATGGAGGTAAAATGCTGTTAATGTCACTGTAGCGGAGGAGGAGCAGGCAAAATTCCTGACTTGGCAATGTGTGTCCATGAACTGGGATTGGCAGAGCTTCTGAAGCAGCTCTGAGGGAAGTTGTGTATTCATTTGGTCATTGAGTTCAAATGTCAACAACCTTTCTTCGGAATGATTAACTCCAACCTTTATCAGCTGAGCAGTGTGTGACTCACCAGAGATAAACCAGGAAATACAGCCTATTATTTTTCTGCGCTCACTGGAAAAAGACGGAAAGACAGACGAAGATAATTATTTTTGTTGAACGTCCTACTGAGGTAGGACAAGTACAGGAGACAAAACTGGAATACTGCTTCTTCTACCTGATGCTGACTTCCCACACTGAATGTGAGAAAAAACCTTTCAAGTTGAGACACTGAGAGGACAGCTGACTTGGTTGCCTGCTACGTTTTCAGCATTTTATTAACATAATGGCTTCCATATCAGAGGATGATCTCTCCTGTCCGGTTTGCCAGGACATCTTCAAAAATCCTGTTGTTCTGTCCTGCAGCCACAGCTTCTGTAAAGACTGTCTGCAGACATGGTGGAGAGGGAAACCTACACAGAACTGTCCAATTTGTAAAAAAAGATCATCAAGGAGTGATCCACCTCGGAACTTGATATTAAAGAACCTGTGTGAGACATTTTTATTGGGCAGAGATCCCAGAGTTTCAGCAAAGTCTGTTGCTCTCTGCAGTCTGCACTCTGAGAAACTCAAACTCTTCTGTCTGGACCATCAGCAGCCAATTTGTGTCGTCTGCAGAGATTCAAAGACGCACAACAACCACAGATTCAGACCCATTGATGAAGCTACACGAGATCACAGAGAGGAGCTCCAGAAAACACTGAAACCCTTAAAAGAGAAACTGAAGATCTTTGAACAAGTTAAAGGAAACTTTGATCAAACAGCAGAACACATTAAGGTCCAGGCCGAACACACAGAGAGGCAGATTAAGGAGCAGTTTAAGAAGCTTCACCAGTTTCTACAAGGGGAAGAGGAGGCCAGGATCACTTCTCTGAGGAAGGAAGAGAAGCAGAAGAGTAAGATGATGAATGATAAGATTGAGGCTCTGAGCAGAGAGATAGCAGCTCTTTCAGACACAATCAGAGCCACAGAGGAGGAGCTGAGAGCTGATGACGTCTCATTCCTGCAGAACTACAAGGCTGCAATGAAAAGAGTCAAACAGCGCCCCCTGCTTAAGGATCCACAGCTGGTCTCAGGAGCTCTGATAGACGTGGCCAAACACCTGGGCAACCTGACCTACAACACCTGGAACAAGATGGAAGAGATGGTCTCCTACACTCCTGTGATTCTGGATCCAAACACTGCTCATCCTAAACTTATTCTGTCTGAAGATCTGACCAGTGTGAGATGTGGACGGAACCCGAAGCTTCCTGAAAACCTAGAGAGGATCACTACCTGCCATCTTGTTTTGGGCTCTGAAGGCTTTGACTCTGGGACTCACAGATGGGATGTGGAGGTTGGCAACAGTACAACCTGGTCTCTCGGTATGGCTGCAGAATCAGTCAAGAGGAAAGGGAAAATAGAGTCTGGAATATGGAGAATAAGATTCTCTAATGGTGAATATAAAGCCTTCTCCCCATCAGCCAAACCAATTGTTCTCGCAGTGAAGGAGAAGCTTCAGCAGATCAGAGTTTGTGTGGACATAGACAGAGGAACGCTGTCCTTCTCTGATCTCAATACTAAAGCACACATACACACCTTCACAGACACTTTCACTGAGAAGCTCTTTCCATCAATGTACAATAAAGATGAGTTCCCAATTAAAATTCTACCAGAGGTGGATGAGGATGATGACGATGACAGTGACGATGGAGACAGTGATGGTGAAGATGATGGTGATGATGATGATGATGATGATGATGATGGTGATGGTGATGATGGTTATGGTTATGGTTATGATGGCTATTACGGTTATAACTAGAAAATCCCTAAAGCAATTTTGATTGTGCCTTGCTCTGGCCCATATGTTAATACCACGTCTTGCTCTCTAGCACGCTAGCATATTAATTTCATGTCATTCTCTTTAGCTAGCTAGCTAGAGCCATGTAAACACATTAACCAAAGCTAGCGCTTAGCTACGTGCTAGCTTTGGTTAATGTGTTTAATTGTATTATGCTCCTGAAGGAGTGCTAATGTAAATTAAGGAACAGCTCATAGTAGGGTAAAATATTTAAGGTGTATTGTTCTTATTTTGTGTTAATATTAAAATCATTCAGCTTTAAATTGTTTGTTTGTTAGCCACCTGCTAATTATCTTTAGCTAGCCAATTACCTAGCGCTAGCTTATTAATGTCTTGTCATTCTCTGTAGCTAGCTGTGTGTGTGTGTGTGTGTGTGTGTGTGTGTGTGTGTGTGTGTGTGAGCAGGCTGTGGTTGTCATGGCAACCAGGGGAGCCCACAGCAGCTGCGCGCGCTCTCTCTCTGTCTCTAACTCCTCAGAGAGACAGAAACAATTAAAATGAATCCCCTCGAACCCATGGCCAGGAACGACCGAAATGAAAACCAAAAAGACCGTGAGCGTCGTCATCTTGTTGACTATAGCACTGCCGAGTTTCAGTGGTTAAAGTTAAAAAATGTGACTTGGGGAGATTGAGAGAGAAGAGGTTCAACGAGCTCCTTTAAACATTTCTCCTCTACACTTTAACATGGGAGTAGATGGGGCCGTGAGAGGGTGTTGCTGGTGCATCAGTGCGTCTCCCGCCAAAACTATTTCTCTGACAGCTTCAGCAGTGGTATCACTGCGACCCCAACGGATTTACCTACGTTTCTATCTATAAATTATTTCTGTAGAGTGACATTTGTGGTCTTGAGAGCAGTTTACAAATTTATTTTTCGACAATTTTTTCTCTCTCCCCACACTCTAGCGATGATGTCACGCACTCTGGCGGTTGAACATTCTCGCAATACACACCCATTCATTTTTTGGACCGGTTTTTGGCGATTTACTGGCAAACTGTTTGGCGAAACGCTTAGAAAAGTCATAGCACTAATGTCCTCACCGAGCCGCACGTTTTGATACCTTTTTTGTGTATGTGCGACAAAAACTGCGGGAGGAGAAGCGCGCCGAAAAACGTACGGAAGAATAATAATAAGTATGGGGAAGAGTAGTATTGTGCTTTTCAAGGCACAATAATTATGCCAGACAGAACCTTGAACTTTTTAAAGGGAACTACCGTAATTGAATCTAATGCAAGTTTACTGTATTTGCAGTAAAATGAACACTTAAATAGACAACAGGGACAACATTGGACAACTCTAACGATGATCTGAATTTTAATTCTACTTTGTCTCTCATTTTTATCTTATTTTGAGTTTTCTATGGTCTTCAGTCACTCTATATAAGAAAATGTAAACTGCTGTCGATGTACGTAATGTGTTATGATGGATAATATCTGTAAAGGTTTTCAGACATTAATTCTTCTCTGTCAGCCATTTTGTCTGAATAAGTGACACTTTATTTAACATGTACAGATCTTATTGTGGATTCTTTCTTTCTTTAACCCTTATGTTGGTGAAGCTTTGGCTGCTCTTCCTCTGATTGTAAGTCACTGAATTAAATATAAACTGTATAGATTACTGATTACTGTAGTAGTGGCTAGAGCACACATCTCAGCAGGCCTTTTTCACAAAGGACATTTTGACATTTTGGCTGAATTCCATTTAGCTGCTTCAGTCAGCTTACATGGACATCGGACTGGAACAGAGTTACAGTTTTTCTGCCCAGCAAGCAACTGTGAGTGAACTGTGAGCCTTCAAGTTTTATGTTTTTTAAGAGATCAGTAATGTGATATACTGTATTTCCAACAGAGTCTGGAGCAGGGTTCTTGAGGGAGGATATGAGGATTATCTCAACCACATTCTTTAGAAATGTAAACAAACTTTTGAAATCCAAACACTCACCTCTTATGATATTAGTCTGCTATTCATGAGCAAATGGTTGAGTGCAGTTTTATATGGGAAGGGCTTAGCTTGCACAAAATAACATTTAATTGGAACGTTTGGAAGTTCAAGATTCATTAAAAATATACTTCAGGAGGAGAAAAGACAGAGTTTTAGATAGATGTTGAGCTGCCATGTTTCTACAGTAGCCCAGAACGGACAAACCAAACACTGGCTCTAGATAGGAGGATTTTTTGTGAATTCCACAGCCACCGTATTATTTATTACAGACGTCAATGCCCGTTCTTATTTCCAAGTTTTCCAAATACCAACCCAAGTGATGTTCAGTCGTTTGCAATCTGCAACTCGGCAGCTTGAAACCACTAAATCTTTCATACTGGTCCTTTAAAAAGAAGCTGTTTAATTTTGTACAGGTTGAAATTACTGTAGATGAGTGCAGAGCGAGGTTTTGCTACAGTTGTGTAAATAAAATCATTCAGGGTTTGTAAAAGGGTTGAAAATACATACACTGTCTCACACTTCTAGTGGGGCACAAGTAATGAGTATATATATATGTTTATATATAAAATCTACTCAATCTGCTTTTAAAATTCCTTCTCTTTAAAGATACAAATAAAAGATGTGTGTGTGAAAGATGCGAATGTGTGTCTTGTCTATCTCTGGTCCTGCATCATTGTGATGTCACCAGAAGGTTATCACCCGATTGGTCAGCACAGAGCTGAGTGGTTTTATAGGAACACACAGAGATAAACGCACACGCAGGTAGGAAGTGTCACTGGGCTATTTTCGGCTGCTTACCTCAGAATGATAAATCACTTTCAGGGACGGAGAGAGAGAGATATTTTGTGTGTGTGATCTCACAGATGAGTTTGATCAGATCTGCCTCACAGACAGTACACAGGCCATTAGCAGTGAACGCCTGCAAACAGCCTTGTAACTGGACAGAGAGGGTGCTAGTTAAAATCCAGGGACCTTCTGTAAGCATCAGAACATGGGAGGCCAGGGGGCAATTCTCAATTTGCAGATCCGTCTGTGTCGCAAAATAATCTATAAATACATAAGAATCTATTTATTATAATATACAATCTTATGATACATCTATTAATAATATAATAGTATATATTATTGTCCAATACATTACATTTTCTGATGAAGACCGTATGATGTGCAGATTAGCTACTAAGTGGATCTTGAGTTAAGGTTATTTGTCAAACATTTGTCTTATACTGTTTTCTTATAAGCAAGACGGTACCAGTATGAAGTTCAAGCTTAAAGGCTTGATTAAACCCAAATGTAAAAACCAAAAACTTACACACTGGTCCTTTAAATGCTCACATTTAATGTGTAAATGAGACTTTTGAGATTTCAGTAGTCCATACCATGCACACTTTTTTTTGTTCTAATGTGAGGATTTAAAATGTTATGTACCATTTAATGCATAAATGCTCACACCCAGAATCTCAAATAATCTGGCAAATGGTAAATGCAGTGCACTACAGACCAAAAAGTTATTTTAGATTTTAAAAGTGGCACGATTGATTTTAAAACCGATGCAAAGACACAATATTAAGATAGAAATTTGCTGCACAATTTGACATGAAGTCGATACTTCAGACCTAGAAAATGTGACCTACAAGTTGTTTGGAAGAATAGATCTGATGTTTTGTGCTATTGATCGTAATGACAGGTGGGCAGTCAGTCTATAAGACTCCATACAGACACTGCTGCATAAACAAGTACAGTATCAGTATTTCTATGGACATCCTGAACACTTTCCTTTAAGGGTGTTGTAGATTAAGAAAGTAATGTTAACATTCCATTTCCATTTTTTTACAACGTCTGACTCACGCAGCAGTTCCTCTATAAAACACTCCAGCAAACAGACTTTGAGCCTGAGAGCCATTATGACTCCTGATCACACAGCAGCAGGAACAAACTCAGTATAGGTGAGTCACATTAAAGGTTAACTGATAATATGAAGATCAAACACTGTGTGCTCAACCCACCTGTTATCTCAAACTAAACAGCGGCAGGATAAAGGAAGCAGAAGGCCACAGCCTCCAAGACTCCCAGAGATAACGGAGGGATGATGGAGGAAAAAGAGCGTCTGTAGTGTGTGTTTGAGTATTTCATGGTTATAGTGCTGTGAGTGAGCTGATAACTGGTGGGAGTCAACAAGCTGGACAAATGGGACAAATTGTTATCAGGTGACTTACTTCACTTTCTGGACCAGTCTGTGTTTACATAGACTATAACTTATTTCCACACACACACACACACACACACACACACACACACACACACACACGCACACACAGACACGCGCATTTCTTTGATATTGCGTCTTCACTTCCTCCCACTGTACAAAAATGAAGCCAAAATATCCCAATCATCTTTCTCCTCTCGGAGTCTTGCGTAGTGGTGACTGGGGAATGGCGCTCGGACGACTCAATCTCAGGGCTCAGCTGTTAATCAGGCTTTTTTTGTAGCTTCTAATAACTAATTAAAATCCAACTTATCTGAAAAATTAACACTTTAAATGTGATAAGAACTACCTAAGATGCCAATGTATTTGACGTGTACTTTGAACATGCAGGCAACAGACTTTATGGCCTGTACTGCAGTCAGCCACTAGAGGGCGATAGAGATGTTTTTGGCTTCACTTTTGGAGATGTGTCATGTAGTCCATCTTTATAAATGTTGATGCCTCTAACTAATATCAACGTAATATCAAAGTAAAAAAAGAGGAAGGATAAGTTCTTTTTTTGGTACCATGATAGTTTTTTAAGTCCCGCCCCTTTTTGGTCTCTGCTCCAATAACATTTGAGCAAGTAATCTATGTTGAAAAAATACAACAACATTTTGAAAGATGGTTAAAAGAGAAAAGCGACATATAGTCGTTAGATAATGTTCAAAAAAACTTTAGATAACAAGGTAACTAATCTACATAAATTGTTTGCTAACTAGCTAATGTTAGCATCAGTTAGCTAACTTAAGATGTGACTTTTATCTTTTAACCATCAGGAGTACAGGAAAGGAAAAAGTTGACCGAGGTTCCGACCGAGGCTTGTTCAACTGCTATTGGAACGCAGAGCCGAAAGGGACGGGACTTAGGAAGGGTCAAGGTACTTAAACCAGCTTCTCGGGGATGTATTAGAGATGAATTAATACATATTTCTGTTGCAGAACTTTGTTAAACTGTATATAAAACAGTTAAACTAGCTCCAACTCGACCAGATAAAATGCTGTTTACACAATGATGCAGTAATAACAATCTAATAATGTACTTGAAATGAAGCACAGTATTTTTATATGTGTACTTAAGTAAAGGATCCGAGTACTTGTGAGTGAGTATTGTCCCGAAAACAAAAAACAATCAATGACTTGTGACCTTGAAACGTTTGCATTATATTACACAGTCCCTCAGATTACCTTTATGATGAGATCATTCCCTGATTATATTACATGCAGGACAAACACACACACACACACACACACACACACACACACACACACACACACACACACACACAGTTTTATTCTTAAACACACACAAAAGAACAGATTCTCTTTCAGTCATTATCCACACAAACACAGAGTCTCTGTTTTGTCCTCTCTCTCTCTCTCTCTCTCACACACACACACACACACACACACACACACACACACACACACACACACACCCACACACACAAACACAAACACTTCCCGCCAAACTTGTCCTCTGGGTTGGCTGTGCCCGGCGAGAGCGTACCGACCCTTTCAGTTGGCCCTTGCCATGGAAACGGTTTGTCTGATGTTACCGCGGCGCCACGTGGCAGACGTAATCTGCAAACACAAAACACACTCTCACACACACACACACACACACACACACACACACACACACACACACACAGAGTTTGTATTTTTTGCACCTGTTCAGCTCAGTAAAGTGTGTTGTGGTTGTTTATTATAGAAACACCATTATCTCACACGAGACTCTGCATGATGCGATACTGTGCCGTCAAAGAACAAAAAAAAAACCTGAATGATGTCAGGCAGGTGGTAAAAACCAGCATCTTCCTCTCACACACACACACACACACACACACACACACACACACACACACAAAGTTACCATGAGTGACAAGCGTACGATGCTAATACATTGCTCCTACACCAAATAAGTGGGCTAAAGTAATACATTTCTTTGTCTTATTTATTTATGTTGTTGTGTGTTTGAAAGCTGCTTTATTAAATTAACATGCTTTACCTGACCTCCGCTAACAAGACAGCAAGTTGGAAAGTATGTTCTTGTGTGTCTTACTGAGCTGGTCCTCTTGTTATTTTCAAAGCTATAACAGAAAGACAGACATGAGTGAATAAAAAAAGGAGGAGAAGAGAGGAGAACAAATAACAGATAAGATAAAGTTGAAGATGAAAGTTATGGTGTCCTCAGGATGCATTTCAGTGGATATATTAAACAGTCGAATCTCTTCGCACCACTAGAGGGTCTCGGTGGGTCAGTCTGTGGTGAACTCACATCAAACTGTCTGCCCTCTCTCTCTCTTTCTTCCTTTGTTTGTATTTCTCTCTCGTCATCGTGTTCGCTCTGATCCGTTGACCGAAAACAAAACCTCTGATCCGTCCAGTCAACAGACGTCATTCTGTTCCACACTTTCTGCCAAGTTTCACCTCACTCTGTTTGCTCTCACTGATCTGACGCTGATATCCCTTTTCTTTTCTTTTTTTGTCTTCGTCTTCCAGGACAACAGAGTGAATAAATGTCTCATCATCCTGTCCAGCTGCGGATTTGACTTGAAACCAGAACAAACTTGATGACCAGCTGCCATTTTGATATTTGGTGAAATAAAACCAACGGACTAGAAGAGTTCAGAGATTCAGCAGCAGCAGCAGCAGGAGTTACTAAACCTGGTCCCAGCTCAATATTTCCATGATTACTCAACCAATAAGATAAGATTTTAGATTAATGAAGCTCCTGTGTTACAGACTCGGGTCTGGGTTTAGAAAACACTGGAAAAAAAAGATTGTGATTCACTTGATTCACTCTTGAATATCAAACTCTCTTACTGTTCTCTCTCACCTTCAGCTGAAGACATTTAGAGCTATTGATCCATTAGATTCTGAGATATCTCCAGTGCCTGATATATCTTAGTCCTCTGTGCCATAGAGAGAGATAGAGACTACAAACACCATGAACACACACACTGAAGTTTCCCACATACACTGTCCTGCTGCCAGAAAATGCATCAAATGTGTATTAATCCATCGCTGAAAGTAGTCCCCAACGAAGGCACGGTTTCCTCCAGTTTTAGAAACATTTGGTAAAAACTACAGTGACCACCTTTTTAGGAAATAACTGAGCTGTTTTAAAATAAAATTAAATAACGATGTGAACTGTTTTCTAAGATTTACGTCTTCGTTAAGAATTAGATTAGATTAGATTAGATTTACTTTATTAATCCCCGAAGGGAAATTGGGTCGTCATAGCAGCCAGGTACATTTAAATACAATAAAATACAACAATAGAATAAAGTACTGAGGTAGAAAAGATAAAAAGAAAAGATAAAGATAAAAAGATAATAGGAACCGGTGGGCTGGTGTGAGCCACAGCTGAGGGAAGTAAAAAAGTATGTTCTAAAACTGACATTTATGTCATTTTTAACAATAAGTAAAATATAGCACCAACCTTGTTCTTTTTAAAAAAAAATTGGGTTTGGCCTTTTTGATTGTATGAAAGTTGAGAGAGACAGGACATACATGGAGAGAAAGTGTGATGATTTCATCTGACAAAGGTATTTGAAAGGTGACCTTTCCATCCTTTTCATTTGAAAAAATATATTATATTATACATTTATTTCATTCTGGAACTTTCAGAAGTCTCAAAAAAGGTGAACTCTGCATTTATGATTTAATTTAATGTTTCCCTGAGGTAACGAGTTGTGTGTCTGTGTGTTTGTGTGTGTGCGTGTGCGTGCGTGCGTGCGTGCGTTTGTTTGAGTGTGCGTGTGTCATACTGTTCAGGATCCAGTGGTTTATTGACACTTTATTGACACTTAATTGACATTTTCTCATCTTGTTCTCAAACTATAGTTCGTGTACCACTGCTGGTACGCGAGCTGCCTCTAGTGGTACGCAGAGGAATCTCTGAAATATTGTTAAAAATGAAATAAATGTATTTAAAAACATAGAAACAAAATACTACAAATTAAAAATGAAAATACTTAAACTATGAGATCAATTTAATTACATTTAAAATAAATTTTGTGTAAATATCAGCCTGTTAGGTAGTTATGCTCATTCATGTAGCGCATACATCCATGTTTAGTTTCAAGCTAAAATGTGAACTGAATAAGGTCGGCCGCACTACTGTATTTAAATAATACATATATATTGGTGATTGAAGATATTTCAGATATAATCTAATGTGGCTGGCGGTGTAAAGCGTTTGAGAAACTCTGTTCAATCCTATAAATAATATATTTTATATTTAATAATATATATGAATGAATGAGCGAACGTCTCTTTCTCAGAACAGTAAGACTTATGAGGCGTCTGATATTGGATATGAACAGCATCATGCCATATCTGGTTTTTACAAGGTCAAGATATTTATAAATGTACACTCTGTTACCAAGTAATGGTAACATAGAAGACAACTTAACATGACCTACTTCTAAAATAAACTGCCCACATCATGACACTGCAGCAACAAGCAGTCTGTCATGTTTGACAGTTATGGTTATATCAGCCACCTTTTTATGGTGATACTGGAGTGAATCCATAAAACAATATCGGTGTCTTGACATATGATTAAATGATGCATATTGGGGATTGGTTTGATTTTGTTTGAAATTTAGATGATAAATACATTTTTACGTACCGATAAATTGTTAATCCTCTTTTGTGAACCAGCCCTTCAGCTGTGTTAAATGTTATAAACTTTAATCTAGTGGCATTGCCGCCCACTAAGCTACAGCAATGTAAAAGATGCTTAATGGCCCTCAGGGAAGAGTTAAGTATGGTTTAACTGTATGCAAATGTCCTCTGATGCATTGTCGCACTTGTTTGGATTACCACAGAAACAGAAGCACATATTTGTTTACTACTTCGCTCCACTAGTGGAGGGAGGACCGCCTATAGCGCAGATACAGGGCTGCAAGGCTGATGCATTCAACTTTCAACAACCTGTACCGCGAGGTAAGAACAGACGGCAAACAGGGCTATCCTGTATTCGAGAAACAAACTGTGCAGCACGAAACTATGTGTTGTATGGCAGCTACGTGAGAAGACAGGTTATGTGCTCAATGCAACATTCCCACGGACTGTATCTGTATGTGTGAACGCAGTTTAAGTCTTAGTAGTAAACGTTACAAAATACAGATGTACGTTTCTCCCATTGGCAAAGTGAACCTATTTAACTTGTCACTGAATAGCAGCCACTGTGAGCATAAGCTGTCATTACAGGAGGCAGAAGCTAAATGTGTATTGGTTTCCTCAAAAGTTATATAGTCTCTCTTTAATTTATACTGTAACATGTTTTTTTTACACAGTAAGTGAGAGAATTATTCCAGCAATACTATTAAAACAAACATTATCTCAGTGTCAGAATAACACATCTGACTGTTTTGCCCCTGAGATGCATCATATGTGTTAAAACATACAGAACACACTTGAACATACAGAAAGACACACACATCGTTGGTAACATGGACATGTGTGAAATGCACACAGTGTTGTTTTGAGTACACATCTGTTCTCAAGAATAAAAACCTTTATTTCAGATAAACATTGAGTTTTATCTTCTTCACAGACTCCTGGTTGTTCTGTTTTGTGGACTCAAACAGAACTCGCCCATCTGTGAAACTGTTTCTGTCCCTGCTGCGGGTTTCAGTCTCTTGGCCTCGAGCCGGTGGCCTGTTTACAGAGCAGGTTGTGTTCGGGGATGTGTCGCCGGGGCAACCACCCTGCTGAACTTTTGTTCCCGCGTGTTGCCTCGATGACTGCAGCAGCAGTAGTAGTCACGAGGACGGAGCAAAGCCCGCCAAACTTCAGCAGCCAATTGGGAGGCAAGGAGGGAGGAGCCAGGGCTAGCAGCAGTGAAACACAGCAGCTGGGAGAGAGAGTGTGTGTGTGGTCACACACTGCAAAAAATGACACATGACAGGTAATTTTGTGCCAGGCTACAATGTTTTCACTTTGTGTGGGTGCATTTATACACATAGAAATTCAACAATAATCACAAATTATATAATATTATCATTAATAATAATAATGTCATTTTTCATTATGTTTTGTTTGCTTATACTGTAATATGTTGAAATGAACTTTCTAAATTGCACTCTGTCTTGTTTCTTTCTTCAGTAACATCACTAAACATCACAAATAAATAGTCCTAAAGCATGTGGTACTATTGAAATGCCAACTAATGGTATTCGTGAGTTGCCTAACTGATTCTGAAAATAACAACAAGCCCGTATGACAGGCCTAGTTAAGACTACGCCATGAGGAAAAACTAAACAGAAGAAGCCTGGGTTTTAACATCTAACCATTGACCCTGCACGTTGACACGTTGTCCATCAGCTGACTTTATCTGCTTCTTTAAGAACTTTACAGTTATAAGTTGTTTATTTGGTTTGGAGCCTTTTCTAATTGATTGGTTTTAGCTTAATTAACCTTGATGAAGTTCAATGCACACTACTCTGCAAGATCTTACCCTGAAACACAAACAAACACACTTAGACACACATACAAAGACAACAACCAGCACACTTTTTACAGTGCAGATACGTGTGTGTATGTGTGTGTTTTCCCGCCACTGAGAAGTTTCTGGCGTCGTGCCAAGAATACATTCCACTGAGCAAGAGAGAGAGAAAGAAGGAGACAGAAAGTCTTTCATTCACAAATGTGAACATGCTCCTGGTATTCACTGGATCTACCTCCCTGTGTGTGTGTGTGTGTGTGTGTGTGTGTGTGTGTGTGTGTGTGTGTGTGTGTGCGTGTGCGTGTGTGTGTTCTTCTAGCCTTTTAGAAAAAATGCTTATTGAGTTTCTCCCCAAGTAAAACTGTGAGATTCTTTACATGTGTGAGAGGTTGTGTGTGTGTCAGGACAGAGAGAGAGAGAGAGAGCGAAGGTGGGACTGTAGCAGCAAGTGTTAAAAAGAAGTTTTATTACAAATACTGCACACACACACACACACACACACACACACACACACACACACACACACACACACACACAAACACAGGGCCAGTTCAGGTCAGGATAATGTTTAAAAGGACCACACAACAGACACACTGAAGTCATACACACTCAGAAAACAACAACAACAACAACAAATAATGGCAGGATATGAAGGAAGCAGTGTTGTCTGTTCTGTAGAAAGTCTTAGATAAAAAACATCATCTTATCTGTTACTCTTCTGTGTTAATTTATTTAGCTATAAATGTATTTTTTGCCGAGACCCGACCCGGTGCAGGACTCGGATATTACAGAAAACTGCTGACGCTGACGCGAGGTACTTCACACTTGTGCTTTTTGACAACATCAGTGTTGGTGTTAATAAAGACATTCTCACCAAATGTATTCAAATCTGCATTTCATGAGTTGAAAATGGCTCAACACAGCCTTTACTGTTTTATATCACCCTGATCCCTGCGAGGCCAATGCTGAGATAGAGTCGACTGTTTTTATGTCATGGCGTTTATATGAAAAATAGCGTTAAAGCACTCTAATCAGAGGAGGGCAGCCCACCCAGGTACCACGCAGAAACCTTTACAAACTGCCGTGAATGTGCTTCTAGTGACTGTAAAAGCTTCAGCGGACTCTCTGTTTCCAGCACAGACACGGAGAGTCTGACAGTCCCTGCTACACTGCGGTCAGTCGGTGTAAAGTCACTGTCTTTGGCAGGTCTGCATGCATTTTTCAAATTTGCTGAGAGGGAGGAAGTTAGCTGAGGGGTGAAGCTACACTTTAATGAAGTTAGTGAAGTTCTTCTTACTTGTAGACCCTTTATTACTGCATCCCAGGGTGGTGAAGTCATGACCCACCGTACTCTGCCTCTGACTGGCCAGCACTCGTTGCCTTCCTTGGTTTGGTTGTTTAGGTTTAGGCATGAGTAGTGAGATTGGTTAGGATGAGAGAGAGCCAATCAGAGGCAGAGTAGGGTGGGCCATGACTTCGCAATCCTGGGAAAAAAAAGATATCTTTCTGTAGCCTACTTCTATATGTCATTGTGCTATTGCAACTTCAACTCTGGGCATCATTGAAGGTTTATCTCATCTAAAAAACGAATGAATACTTTTACATTCACAATCGAGAGCACCGTTTGGAACCACGGTGGCGTAGAAAAAGCATAGTGTGTATGTGACGTTTTCTCAGCAGCACACATGTTTCCCAGCTCACATGTTCATGTTCACACACTGTCACTTACTTTCCCTTTAACTCAAACACACACACACACACACACACACACACACACACACACAGGACTATGAATGTATGTTGCGGCTACACAGTGAGGTGTTGACTGTTGACTGACAGAGAGGAATGTAGTGTACTTTTTCTTCTCATACCGTCACCTCTTTTATCATTACATTTTTAGTTGTGTTTTTAATCTGACTATGTGGGGTTTTTGTATTTTTGTATCTTAGGTTTTGTCTTATTGACCCGGGTTAATAATAATTGTTTTCTGTGTTTGTGTGTAACAATAGCAGAGAGAAAGAGAGGGTTAAATCCAACTATCAGCGTTTCTGAGAAACCTGTCTGACATGTGAAGTCCAAGTCGCACCTCAGCTAGAAGCAGGCAGTAACCCGAAACACCCCCATACACACACACACCTAAATGACACGCACACACACACACACACACACACACACACACACACACACACACACACACACACACACACAAACAAACACACACGTCCTGTGGCAGACCTTTAAGGTTGTTGTGGTGTCAAACACTTTGCTGCTGCTAAATTAGTTTGTGAGTGGTGTGTGTGTGTGTGTGTGTGTGTGTGTGTGTGTCACACCCACTCCCAGGTGACCTACTCTGACTAACCTGAGTTGTGTTTGCTCTCAGACATGTGAATCTTCTGTCCCACGTAAACAGTTTACAGTAAAGTGTAACAGTATTGTGCAGAAGCAAAGGCCAGGCCTCCAGCAAAGTGTAGCTGCAGCATTACTGTGATCAGTACATCCACCAAATACTCAATGCACCTCTATGTTTCAATTGTTTCATTGTGTGCATGAGGATTGTTTTTAGAATCTATTCCTATGAACGCGGAATTTCTTTAAAACCCAAAGGAAAAACAGACTTTTTGTGTAGCAGCTAATTCACTCTGTGAAAATAGTGACAGGTGCTGAATCTGAGGACAGACAGAATGGTCATCTGCAGCATCTGAAACATGACGATTATTAATGTTGAATAAAGCACCACAAAGTAAGTAGTGTCAGCCCGTACAAGTTCCTGCCTGCGTGCTGTTCTGAGGTGAAAACTGTCTTTTAGGTGGACAGTAAAGTTTAAAGAAACAAAGGGGGAAGTGAAGTTGAAGCTGCACATGAGAAGTAAGAGAAGAAGTTCATGTTTCTGTAGAAAACACAAAGAGGAAGCTCCAGCTCCTTTTTAAAGGTCGTAACTATTGGGTCAATGGTCATCTTCTTCTTCTTATGAGACAAGAGAAAAGGTCAGTGTTGAGATCAAACACTAGAGCTACAAGAGGTTTAACTTTGAGCATGTCTGAAGGTGCAGCTGTGGAGGACAGACAGGGTCAAGTTCATGTTTAACCGGTTGCATGTTGAGGGGAGACAGAAGAGTGAATGAGACCGTCGCTGCTTCTGCAAAACAGAAAATATAAAATGAACAGATGTAAAAAAAAAAATTCTGTTTTCACAAATTTCAAAGAGTCAGTGAGAAAAGAGAAGGATGTTGCTGCATACATTTAAAGGCCAAGTACACCAAAAAAAGACCATTTCTCCTCCAGTGGTAGCAACCCTGAATAACCAAGAACCAAGAAATTATGTTTGTATATTACTAAACATTTTTTGAAATACTACATTTATGTAACAAGGAGGTGGTTGGGGTGGATGGTGCATACAAAGAGCAGGACTGGCACCCCACAGCCTCCTGCAACACCAGCATTTTGGTTACGGTTTGCAAAGATTGTTATTTCAGTTAAATGTTAAAAACATTTTCCCACTCACTCAACAGCTGAACTGGAATGCCGTTAAAATACATTAGGACTATTTACAGTCTAGTTAAGACTCACTCTTAACCTGACCTACTGCCAGCGAGTAGGTCAGGTTCATATCGTACGTTACCTCAGAAACTGAAAACCCAGAGTGTCCCTCAGCTAAGGGTTGAGAAACTAAACCCGGACAGACCCCCGGTGGTAGTTTGCTTTGTTGGTTAGTCTGAGGATGAGAACTACAGAGCGATTCTCAGAACATCTCTGTGAGGTTAGAGCTCAGAGGTCAGAGGTGTGGTAAGGCCAGCAATGATGAACATAACTCAGCAGTGACACAGAGGAATCTGTCTCTGGAGACACACACACACACGCACACACACACACACACACAAACAACTTCAACACATGGAAAATTTTACAACATGAGCAGCAAAAGCAAATATTGGCACATTAAATGCCTACTCATTTACACACAGGCACACACACACACGCACACAGTCTGATCCTGATGGTTCAGGTTTGGCCCTTAAATATAATTGCTGCTATTTAATTTGACATATTGCAAGTAAAAAACAATGATACACTGTAGGGGTGTCACGATATCTGTTCTAAATCAAACATTTATCAAAATGAGACCATCAAACTCAAAAGCTTTCTCAGTATTTGTTTTTCTCTCCACCACCGCCTACCTTTGCTTGTCCGGCGTGTGTCCACAGAAAAACAGTTCAGAGACGACGACACGCTGGTGGCCTGCAGCTGCACTTTTCAACTTGACACCATGGTCACTGCCAGACTGGCAATTCTTTCTACCCTCACTGTCCACTGTTGCTACGGTGATCTAATGTTGCATGAACAGTGAACACAATACGCAGCCTGTCAGTTACTGTTGACTAAAGTAACTTAATTACCCATTATAGCGTACACTGTTCTGTGACTGCGTCAACGTGCTGGCACCAGGAGAGACTCAGTTCCCACAACAAACCTAGTCAACGTGACTTATTAGGGTTCAGGGTTTGGGTTCCTCAAGGCCACCTTCCTTAAAAGGGGACTGATGGCTTTTTGCAGATGTTCAGAAGTGAATAGTTATACTGGATTTTGGATTGACAGCTGAAGATTTCACCACATTTCGTTCACAATTGACAACTTTAATCTGAGATAACCCAAACTTACACAGTGTAGAGGAGTCTTAACACACAATAAATAAAACCCCATCAATGTCTCTAGAGGGTGATAAACTAAACTAAGCATCTGCAGTATTTTTATGGGTTTTGAATTAGTTCCATATTTAAAAAGAAAATCAGATAAACTGCTTTCAGTAAATTGTTTCTGTAGGCCACCACTGCCTGAGGTTTGGACTGTTTCCATGGCAACAGAGGATGCCAGGCCTGATTTCGGCAGTCGAGCTGCGGGCTCAAGTCCCCGATCGTACGAGATTGTTTGGGCTGTCCTCCCTGAGCAGCAAGCAACCAGCAGCACTGAGGCAACAGTGTGTGTTTAAAAAAAAAAACCAGAAAGCATAGTTAAGAAAGCATTAACAGCAGTTGGACTCGCTGCTGACTTTCTGCTGCCAACTTTGCATCTGTTTTGAAACTCATTTTCAGGTTGTGGTTGGGAAAAGACTCAGTGTACTAAAGTTGAGTAACAGTTGGAGGTTTGGAGAGCACTCCTCATATTTCAGGCTCTTGCATCACAAAACGTTTTTTACGGTTATTCCATCTCCAGCAGATGATTGCAAGATTTGGGAAAATACCCTGAAGGATGAATCTTGAGCTTTTAGTTTTTCTTCAGAAATTCTGCTGTGAGAATCATTAAAAACAACCGGTACTGAACTGGTTTAAAACAAACAAACAAAAAAACATACAAACAAAATAATACTCTTTTATCTGTTACTGAAGTACTGGAGGAAATGTACTTACCAGTAGTTACATTCCTCCATTGTTGAAAGAGTGCTGTAGGTTTAAATTTGCATCTAAATTAGGTCATTTGCATAATATTTATAACATTATCTAATTTTATTATCTATTACGGGTGTTTTTTACTTTTATTTACAGCATTAAAAATTCACATTCAGTCCCATAACAGCGGTCAGTATTGACTTTTTAAAACAAAACTATGAGCACAATCTTTCCCTTAACCAAGTGGTAGATTTGAACCAAACCTCAATCATCAAGTCAGCAGCTTGCAAAGGCAGTTTAGATAAAAAAGTGCAGGGCTGCAGGGGTGCACAGGGGCACAGGAAAAAGAGAGTGACATGAGAGAAAAAAGAAAATACAGCGTAATGATATGAAGCTATGAAGCTGTATTGGTGCTGCAGCTCATTCGACAAAGCAGATGTACGATTGGATAGTGTGATGCATCTAATATCATACATATAGTTCTTCATTTTGGACTCTCAACGGCACAAATCTGTTCACTAAAGTTGAACTCTGGGCAGATTTACTTTGTCTACTTGTCTCAGGCCTTAGTCACCATGAGTCAGAATATTGTAAGTAATACCTAAAAAATACTTTGATATTGTGATTCAGACAGCATCATGTTTCCCACAAAATGTACTCAGTGTAATGAAAGATGCTGCATATGAAACTCATGAGAGGAGATATGGTTGTGAATTTGTCCCATACAGTCAAAATAGCCAAAATAGCCCAGTGTCCTGATCTGACACCGATAGAGCAGCTCAGGGTCGAGGTGGTTCACTGCAACTCTCAGCTTTTATGCTACTTTTACCTTTATTTAACACAGACACAGACATAGCCACACACACACACACACACACACACACACACACACACACACACACACACACACACACACACCCACACCCACACACACACACACACACATACCTGTATGCAATAAAACATCAGCCTCCCAGATAGTACACTCTGTCAGAACATGATAGCATGTAAACACACACACACAAACACAAGTCACTATGACCTTGGTCGGGTACATTGTGTACACACGCACACACACACACACACACTGCACACACAGCAGTTACACATTAACTCGCAGAGCAGCCCCAGGGTGCTGACGTGGATCTGAAACACACCAGCTGACAGACTGACTGATGAAGCAACATACAGCACTGCAAACCCAGCAGGTCTGACCTGAGGGTGACGCTAGAGTAATGGAGACATTAAAATCCTAAATATCATCTGCAATCTGCCCATTAGACTATGAGATTACTCGTCATTTTGGCCTGATGGTGGTGCTAAAGGAAAGACAGGGAGTCATCAGAATCATCTGGAGTCCTCCTGTAGGGAATCTACAGTGAATTCAACCACTAAATCTGGCCAGTAGAGCAAGGTTGACATTTTATGTCCAAGAAAATACAATTATTAATAATACCATACTATGGGTGTCTAGGGTAGTGTTGAGCCGAAAATGCACTCCCCAGAAAGTGTTTAGGAGCATGTTTCAGCCATTCTGAGTCGATTGGAATAGGTTTGTAGTGACCATTGTTTGGGTCCGCTTCATCTGGGTGATCTGTCTATGTCTGTCTACTCCAGGGGCGGCAATGTCTGGTCAGTCCACTACAGATTGGTCCACGTGAATACAATGAGAACTGTGATTGGCCAAACATGGCCTGCTTGTGTTTTAACCTGCAAGTTGATGATGACCAACATGAAGCAGGTTGAAAATTTTATTTATTTTCTTCTCTGCTTCAGTAAAATACATGTAGTAAAGTCATCTCTGCTGCAAACCCTCTGCTTCCCAGGATCACTGCTCTCTACCAATAAAAGAATGTGATCACAGTGGACTGTACGACAAAGGTCTTCTGTTCATTAATGAGACAAAGTGAAATAGTTAGCTCGTTATCTGGATTAAATCAAAAGATCTAAAGATCCAGAAATACGTGCATAATTCACTGCCACTCGTACTGTGAACATTTACTTTTGGGGACATAATTAAAGCGTGACATGGCCCCATCATGTCCATCTATTTGCCAAGCATTGTATTTCTATCTTTCTGTATCTCTTGATCATCATGAATCATGTGTTAAATAAGGGTACATATGATTCATGCACGAAGGTGATCTAATTCCCTTTAATAAAGACACATGCATGCTATTCTTGCCATCCCCATTGAAGCGTAGCAGTGCAATATGATAAACTTTATTCACTTTAACCACCCCCCCAGACCGAATCACCATTAGTCATTGCTCTGTTTTGTAGCCAGCACACTGTCAGTCAATCAGTCCATTCTTTGGAGTCACCCTCATAAGAAAAAGTGAGCTATGTGAGTGTGCCATTGTATAGTTCACACACCGACGTTGAACTATAAATCATAAAGGTACACCACAGGTTCTCTATTTTCTGTATTAAACCAGATCATCTTTCCTTAATCTTGCTGTGAATGCCTGAAAACAAATGAAATATGTTGTCAAATATGTTCAGTATCAACATTTTTGTGACTTGCCCGATACTTTAATTGACATTATTTCCTCATTATGTTACCAGAAAACATAATCCGGGTTTCTTGTATATAAATAGTCCACAGTTACTGAAGCTAAATCAGCTCTCAGTTATGTATTTTTTGTATTTTTTGTCCTTTTGTCAATAACTGAACGAACACAGGCTGTAGATAGAGTCTCGTCACTCTATCTACAACTAAAGTTTAGCAGGAGAAAAACCTGCTGTGAGTTTTCACAGCTTCATATGAGTTTAAACATGTAAGAGAGAGAAGGTGAGGTGAGAAAGTGCTCCGAGTTCACTGAGTTCGTGTCAGCTCCACTCTCTCATACTACAGTTCAAACACTAATGTGTTTCTGTCTGGCTATCTGCAAAGTTACTGTCAACTATGTCAGATACATAGAGAGGAAAATAAAGAAGTGCAGTAATAGTTAGAGTTAATAAAGAATCTGAAGAAGTAAGTTCAGTTCAGACATAGAAAGGGTAAACAAGACTACAAATGGTCTTTTCTGAGCCTTATATGTCCCTCATTGGTTACTCGTTGCGAACCCTGCTGTGTCTACTCAGAATTTTAACTGTTTTCAGCTTTTTTTACCTGGTGCTCGCAGTGCCTTCGTGACCTTCCCACTCATCTTTCCACTGAGTTCAAAAACATTTCTCCTCCGCGATGGGTGTGAACATGCTGCGATTGTACCCGTTTTTTCAAAGACATCAGTGTGTGTGGGAGGTTAAATGTGTTTGAGAGCCATACTGCACACACCAAACAATATGTGCTATCTACAAATGTTATAAGGTGCGTTTCCGTCCGGGATGCTTTAGTCCTATGAACTACTTTTCAGGGAAATGAAAGGTTCCTTCAGCCCATTGTCTGCGTTTCCACTGCGGTCTAAAAATCTGCGAAGATTAAATGTACTGCACTGTACACTACACGCCACATTCACCTTCACACAGTGATGACACAGGCCAACACACGTTAGACATATTAAGGCCCTGACACCGTGTCACTGAATGTCTGTAACTTTAGTTTTTGCAGTGTGTTCAGCACCTTTGGCACTCGTCCTTGAAGCTGTGTCCAGCTTAAGTGAATCAGCGTACGAGAAAAGAAACGTGAGTAAGCAAAGCAGCCGCTAGTGTTGCCACTTGTTCTTTAACATCGGTTTGATTTGTCAGCACATTTAGACATTTTTGCGTGCCTTGTCCCGCTGCAACATCATGAACACGATATTGATGCTTATTGTGTTGAAGAACAATAAACCAAAAACAAACTGGTTTACGGCAGCAGATTCTTAAAAAATGGTGGCTGAAAGAAAATACTGCAAATTCTCAACCAATCAGAAATGTTTAATGCTGCTTTGGAAAGTACAACCCCTCAAGCAGGGACTTTTTTAGGGGTAAAACAGTCTCCTTGGGACTTCATTTAGACCTTGTCCCCATGTGGAAACACGCTGAGTT